AGCGGTGCAGTAGACACCCCCCCCCCCCCACACACACACAGTCTTGCGGCCTTTCGGAGAGGCGTGGTAAGTTGTGGTGGGCGGGACTTGAACCCTGGCCTGGGGCAGCAAAGCCTGAGCTGCCCAGACTGCACTCACCGCCCACATCAGAGGGTCAGGAAATTGGGGCTTGGCTGATGTGGCGAGGGGAGCTGGGGGTCACCCGCCCTGCCACACTCCTGTGCTCTGGTCACTGCACACCCGCAGCTGCTTCAGACGGAGGTGTGGTTCTGCAGCACAGGTGTTTCAGCTACCCCACTGTAGAGGCGTGGTGGTGAGGCTCGGAGGAGCGCAGTGCTGTGCCCAGTCCCAGCTTAGACGTGGCAGGATTCACGTTTCCTGACTGGGCATCCTGTGTTTGAGCATAAATCTGGGTCCCAGTGGAGAAACCCAGGCAGTCCTGAGACCGAGGAAGACACGTCGGGTACCAAGCTGTCTGCGGCTCCTGGACAGAGGGACAGGTGCAGTGTGTTAGTCTCTTCTGTGCTGTGTGGCCTGGGGCAGTGCCCGCCCTCTCTGGTCTGTGTTTCTGTCTCTGCAGTGAGGGGCTCCAGGGCCCCTTCCAGCTCCAGCAGCCTGAGCTCCTGAACTTCCTTCCTCCCCTGCCCCCTCCCCTTGCCCACACCAGATGAGCAGCTGGTCGGTTTGGCCGGCCTGGCACCAGCTGTCCATCCCCGGGGGCCAAGTCTGCAGAGCCCGCCGTGTGCGGGAGAGAGAGACAGTTTGGCTCCGGGGAAGGCAGGCAGAGGGGAAGCTGCTCCCCGGCCGGGCGTGGAGGCATGCGGGCAGCTGCTGAGGAGGGCTAGGTAGATTCTCCATGGTTACCGCTGTTCGTAATTCTGCAGGACATCCTTTACTTGCTAATGACCACTCGGACGCCATTATGGGTCTGCATGCTTCCAGCTACTGAGCTGGAGCTGGAAAATTCCCTGCTGAGGGCCTCCCCACCCCCCATGCAGGAGACTCCGTTCTGAGCCGGGCCCTGGCCCCCCGTGGTCCCTCTGCTGAGGGACAGTGTCTCCCAGTGTAACAGTCCGTAAGTGGGGTCTTACGCCTCCCCCGTGGGGATGAAGCCAGCTGGGCATAGATTCAGACTGCCGAGAGTCTTGTTCCCTCTTTGGGGAGGGGCGACAGGAGCTCAGAGAGGTTGAGGGGCTTGTCCAAGGACACACAGACAGGCTGTGATGTGCTTCAGATTTCTGACTTTGTGTCCAGTACCCCAGTCCCGAGCCAGGGTTGGGTCTCAACAACCTCCAGATCTTCCCCTGTCTTCCTCACCATATACTCCAGCAGAGGTTTGGGCACACAGGAAGTCTCAGCCCAGGTGTGGACCAGCCTTAGTAGCAGATGGGCTCTTGTGGCAGCCATGTGTCTCTAGGATATCAACCTCTGGGGAGCAGGACCCAGGAAAAGGGGACTTGCAAGGGTTAGGCTGAGAATAGCAGCAGCTTTTGTCTTTGCTACCAGTTTTGACTGCATGTATGGGAAGGATTTCTGTGATTGATTAGCAATGTCTGCTGTGGTGGTGGGCGTGAAGAGCAGTGGTCTGTTAGCTACATTTTACCATCAGTCATCTACGCGGAGTATCAGCTGTGGCCAAACTAGAGGACAGGAATAGGGTTCTGTATCCTCAGAGACAAAAGACCACTGTTGATGGCATGAGTTCTGGGCAGGGGGACTCAGAGTCCTTACCTCGGATACAGTTAGCCAAGGCTACTTGATTACTGATTCCTGTCTCCTCCCCTGTAGCTGGGAGTGTCCACCCGCCCTCCACCAGTATGGCGACGTCATCACAGTACCGCCAGCTGCTGAGTGACTACGGGCCGCCATCTCTAGGCTACACCCAGGTATGGCAGTGGGGGTGGGATGTGCTGTGGGAGGGGCCCTAGGGGCGGCCTGGGCCAGAGGGGAAGCGGTGAAAGGAGTAGAAATGATGGAGCTGTCATCTGAGCTTCCTCAACCCAGGGCTCAAGATATCAGAATGGAGAAGTGGCAGGGGGTTTCACGGGGGACACCGAGTGACAGGAAGGGGTGGGAGAGCCCAAAGAAGGCTGGAAGCCCCGAGAGCCACAGTTCCCGATGGGGCCACCACCCCACGTGTGTCCCTGGTGGGCCTCCTCGTGCCTGGTCCCTGGGGAAGTGAGGTCTGGCCTTGACTCTGGATCTGAGCTTGGACAGAGGAGGGGGGCCCTGCTCCCACTCACTCCCCACAAGGTCATGGGCCCTGCAGGGAGGACGGGCCCATATCCTAGTGGAGTCCAGGTGCGTTGCACCGAGAGCTGCTGGCCCCTCAGTTTTACACCTGGTTTACACCTGGTTCCACCAGTTATGGGACTGTGGACCGCCCCTGCCCCAACCTCGCGGAGACTTGCTTTCCCCACCGGGTTGGCGGGCCCTCAGGGGAGGTGGCCGCTGGCCGCCAGGGAGGGGACCCGGGCCACTAGCCGGGAGATTCCCGTGGCTGCCACTCGCGTTCCGAGGTCGCCACGGAGGCCGGCCCCACGGATGAGGCGGTGGCTGGGAGCCGTGCCCCGCCAGGCCGTCCTGCCCCCGGAGGGGAGGCGGGCACGGGCGAGGACCCCCTGAAGAGGTGGCGGCAGGAGGCTGCTGCCAAGCTGGATGAGGAGAGGAGGAAGGACCAGGAGGCCAGGAGGCGGAGGCGGCAGAGGAGCTGGGAGCAGGCGAGGGCCTGGGGGGAGGTGGCCGCCCTGATGCAGCTGTTGGGGGGGGCGGGGGGGGCCAGGGAGGCCCGGCTGAGGCCCACAGGCCGACGGGACCCAGCCTCCCTGCTCCGGGTGTTTGCTCGGGCTGTTTGTGGGGTTCTGGAGAGAAAGGTTTCTGTGTGGTGGCCCCTGCCTGCGGGGGAGGATGGATGAATTTAAATACATTCTGGGCTCTGTCTGGGTGGTCCCTGGCAGTTTTTGTGGTCTTGCTGACCCCACATGTGGCCTCCATCTCTTCCGCCCACTCTGGACCCTCAGCACGCCCCCTCCCCCCCATCACTTGCCCGCCCATCGGCTCCTTCAAGGAGATTCTCAGTGAACACTTTCCTATCCACTTTCCTATCAACAAGCCAGTCTTTTTTTTTTCATTTGAGATGATAAAAGGGCTTTCTGCAGACTGCTGGGTGGTTGCCTTGAGTGTGCAGGGACAGTAGAGAGGGCCGGCTCCCTGCTCTGTGCTTGTCGCCCAGGTGGGCCGTGCCTGGCCGCAGCTACCCTGGAGTCTGGGCCAGGCCGCCCTCCCTCCACCACCTGCCCCCGGCTCGGGCCTCTCCCCAGCCCTGCCCTCGTGGAGCTGGCATGCTGTGGGGTCCTGACCACGGCATTGGGGTCAGGTTGGGTTCAATCCTCCTGAACCCTTTTCTTTCTGATTCTAGGGAACTGGGAACAGCCAGGTGCCCCAGAGCAAATACGCTGAGCTGTTGGCCATCATCGAAGAGCTGGGGAAAGAGATCAGACCCACCTACGCGGGCAGCAAGAGCGCGATGGAGAGACTAAAACGAGGTAAATCGTGGGCCCGGGACTCCCATGACAGGTGACGCCTCGCTGCTGGTGGACCCCACGGCACTGGCCTAGTAACTGTCTTGAAAGATTTTCTGGGGAAAACGGAGGGTGGCAGACAGAAGAGTCCCCCGCGGCACAGGGGCTCCCGCTTTGTTACAGAATTACCGTTGGCTGTGGAGGTGTCAGGCTGGGTGAGTGGGTCTGTGGGATGTACATCTGATGGAAGGGGCTTGGCGGCCAGTTGTCAGATGCAGCGTCTAAGAAGGGAATCCCCAGGACTCCCCTGGTGGTCCAGTGGTTAGGACTCCACGCTTCCACTGCAGTGGCCTTGGGTTCGATCCCTGGTCAGGGAACTAAGATCCTGCAAGCTTCATGGTGTGGCCAAAAAAAAAAAAAAAAAAAAGTCTTTGTACCCAGATCCTGCAGCTCTGCCTCACGCCCGCTCTGCTCCTGTTGGCCGACACTGGTCCTAGGAGCCCTGGGCGGCCCTGTAAGGTAGGCTCCCAACTTGGGTGAGGCCAGTGACATGAGGCCAAGGGGGCCTGCGTTGCCCTCTGCTGTCCTCCTTGGAGCGGGGGCCCAGGGGGGCGTGTGGTCAGTCCCAGTCTGGGGCGGGAGAGTGAGAATGCTTTGAAGTTCTTTCCTGATTGAAGAGGGAGGAAGGGCGGGAGGATGGTGCCACAGGAAGAAAGTGACTCACGTGAAGAGGTGACTGGCCAGCTGACTTCAGAAGGCAGAGAAATAGGTTGTTTTTTGCTGCTTCATGAAGTGAAAGCGGCGTGGAGAGGAGAAAAGGATTTCTATTTTAGAAGGTGGCAGTTCAGAGCACGGTGGCTTATGTGTGAATTTAATTTTAGGAGTTTTTTTTTTTTTTTTTTTTAAGGTTAGAGAAGCAAATTTGGAGAAAATCGAGAGGGAAATGTTCTGTGGCTATAAATCTGGGGCGTGACAGGGGGGCTGCAGTTGAGGCCACGGCTCCAGTGATGGCAAGGCCGGCTGAGGACAGGCTCCCACCCAGAGCAGTGGGCCGGTTCTTGACACCTTTGTGAAGAGACTGACCGACTGCAGAGCTGGATCGGGGAATAACAGGCACAGGTGTGGGGAGGGGGGCTGGCAGTTAGAGGCTGGAACGGAAGAGGGGTCGGGGGAGAGAAGGAGCTTAACCCCCAATCCAGCCCTGGGGGTCAGGTGGGCATCGCTTTGCCCACAGTGCTGGTAACGGGAGTGCCGGTTACCTGATTGCAAATGTCTGGGAAGATGCTGGACCCCGCAGTCTCTCTGACAGGCGACCTGCAGCCTCCCAACAAAGCTGGCAGTTCAGGTCAACACATGGATACACCTGGTGACTGCTTCAGGGCACATCCTGGGTGAGCAGCTGGCCCCACAGTCACCCTGACCAGTAAGGTGGCCAAGTTTACATCATAGCAAGTAAGAAGGGCACAAGGGAGTCAAGCGCCAAGAATGTTTTGCGTTTTTTAATGGTGAAAAAAATAAGATTTTGTGACATGTGAAAATTTTGTGAAATTCAGACCTCAGTGTTGTAAGTAAAGACTTGTGGGAACATGGCCACACCCATTGCTTATTAATGTCTGCGGCTGCTCTCACAGTACAATGGTGGAGTGGAGTAGCTGCGACAGTGGCTACACAGCCCTTTCCAGAAAGTCTTCGGAAGCTCTGGGGGGTAAGATTTGTGAGGTGGGGACACCTGAGTGACTTGGGGTGTCATTCCCAGTGCCCTCTGGGGGGTCAGCTCTTGGAAGGAGCAGATTCTTAGTGTCTATTAAAATGAAATCAATATTTCATGAAGTTCAGTAAAACCAAAAAAAGAAAAAAACCCCACAAAACCCAAACAAGCAATAGATAACTCCCAAACTATAGAGATAAAAGATGAGGGGAGAATAATAGTGCAGGAGATGGCACCCGTCCCCTGGGGGGAAGGACAAAGCAGTGGACCAAGGTGGCCTGAGTGAGCACTCGTCTTGCACCCAAACCAGCCAGGCTGCCTGACATTGTCAAGCCCTTTCTAGAATTTAGGAAAAATAATGGTTTGAAGGTGTGGAAGGAATCTCCAAAGCGGGTCCCTGCTTAAAGAACTTGGGTGGGGACACACTTCCTCCTGTCATCTGGATGGTAACATGGTTCAAATAGAGAGTCATGTCATAAAAAGAGAGCTTGCTGGCTGTCACCGTGAGCATGGGAAGAAACTTTTAGGGAGACGTGAAGAGGGGTTTTGGCTTTGAGGGGTGGGATGGGGTTTGGGGTGTTGGATGCAGGTCCCGAGTTCCTCCAGTCCGAGGGTTTCGCAGTTGGTTTGGAAGGACCCTCCTCCTCTTCTGGAATGGGTGCTGCTGGCTGACGTCCACCTCTGCTTCTCTTCCAGGCATCATCCACGCTCGAGGGTTGGTGCGGGAGTGCTTGGCTGAAACGGAACGGAATGCCAGGTCCTAGCTGCCCTGTGAGCCTGGACGGTTTTCCATCTTCGGAGAGAAGTTACAGTTCATTTCCCCTGTTCAGATGAAACTTTTGTTTTCAAAATGGTAACAGTTTGGTTTCTCGTCCCCCTGCCCCTCCCATGGTTCACTAGGCTCCGAATCTATAGTCTGTAAGATCGAGGAAAGATTTTGCAGTTGATTGGGAGTTACATTTTAAATAGTTAGGAACTACCCAGGTGTTTGTTGTTTTTTAAAGCATTGATTCAAAAGATGCACGTAAAAATTACCTATCTTACAGCAAACTAGTTTGCCTCCAAGATACCACTGTCTCGCTTTCCTCTTTTGAATACATTTATGTTACCCGGATTGTTCTTTGATCCTTTTCATAAGCTGATACAACTTGAAGGGATTTTTTTGTAGTGCGGACTTGACAGCACACTTAACTAGTAGCTGGTCCCCTCGTTTCCCATACACTATAGATTCTGCTTAACGTAAATTCTTTTTTGCTTAAGCATTTGCATGACTATTAGTGCTCTGAAGTCGATTTTTAAAATGCACAAGTTATATACATACAGAAGAGCAACCTCCCAAACCAAACCCAACAAGGATCCCCGAAATTTTTCCTGAGACTGTATGTAGATTTCAGTTCTGCCTTTCCTGTAAGTTGATCCAAACATCTGGAAGAAAATGGAACTGTTTGCATCTTTGTATTTATTACTCGATGTAATAAAGCTTATTTTCATTAACAGCTTGTATTAAGATGTGGGTTCCGCAAATTCTTGGTGGTATTTTAAAGAACGGCTCCTCAGCGAGAGTGGGGAGAGACCTGTCAAAGGGCATTTTCCCACCTGGTCCAGAAACATTTTGCGTGACAATATCAGTAGCACAACAGGCCAGGGACAGGATGTGTCGGTTAAGTCAGAAGGCAGGGATCAGGTGAAGCTGCGTCACGGATGCATCTTAACTGCAGCAGACGTTAAGTGTGTGCCAGGAAGGAAAACAAGAGTAGAGGCGATGTTACTGATTTCGCCCTTTCTGTGCTCCCCCAAGTTAGGCCACTCTGTTTTTAGGAACTTAACCTGTGAGCATTTAAACTCAAGCTAGCTACTTCATCCTGTTCTCACTGGAAGAACTACCTGCTCTGGTGCTGGGAAAACTGGGTTGCCTCGGATGTGTTGAGAATTCATGGGGTGGTCCCCAACAGTCCCTTCCAAAGGGACTTTGAGGTCATCCTTACTATATTCCTTAGGCACCGATCCCAATGTAATGAGGATTTACCGTGGTGAGGGGTAGACTAAGACAAAAGGAGGGACCTGGTCAGTTTCACAGGCATAAGGCCAGGTCCCAGCCATGACAGCTCTAAAAGCCGGAGGAACGGGTACTAGGCAGTCGGCTTGTCTGCATCTCCTTCGTGGACGTGACAGGAAATTCAAAAAGGTTCAAGAAGGGGGGAGACAGAAGTTAAAGCTTCTGTCCCTCTTGTCTGAAGCTCCCCAAATTCCCTTCCACTATTACGGTCTTCTGTGTACCATTCCAGATGCTTCACTTGGCTCCCTTCTAAAAGGAGGTTGGACCTGGGAAGGGCCCCGCACACTGCAACCAGAGGTCGAGAGCCTTGCGTAGAGCTAAACTTCCGAACCAGGCTACTCCGAGGTGGGAAGACCTTCCCTGGCTTCTTCACAGGGAACTTTATTTGGGTGCATGCAGTCTGGTCTTCACGGATGAGGCCGACCCTGGGTCTGACAGTGGCCTTCTCACCTCATGGTTTGTTTCCCTACTAGTTTTATGCATAAACTTCCGGATGTGTGCTAACAAACCATGCCTGAAAACCCCCAAACAGTTTGTAAGGTCAGATCCGGCTTGAAGGATGGTATCAACCAAATTCACAAACCCAAGTTTCTGAAACCTCATCTTTTATAAACCTACTACTTGTAAATCAGCATACAGAGAATGACATGTGTATTTCCACATCAGAGAGGTTACTTGTCAACATATAGTCTATTAAGCTAATGGGGTAAATGGGCAAGTAACTTACTAACTTGTTAATCTTTCGCCATCTTGTTTTCTTTTGTTCTCTTAATGACATCTATATATCACTGAGCAATGACCTTCCAGCAGGTGACGAGGCACTAAATGCTATTGTTTGACTCAATTCTATAGTTTTCCATAAAAAGTCCATTATTTACATTAATGCTTTTTTTCAGAAAATATTTTCATTGGGGAATTCCTTGGCGGTCGTGGTTAGGACTCTGCGCTCTCACTGCCGGGGCCCAGGTTCAATCCCTGGTCGGGGAACTAAGTTCTCACAAGCCTCATGATGCAGATACAGATACAGTCACACAAATGTATAGCTTAAAAGGTGACATACTTCTAACTACCGTCCAGGTCAAGAAACAGAACTCTTGTCAGCTGCCCAGAAGCCCCTCCAAGCCCCGCGTCACAATGACAGCCTTTCCTCCCCCCAAAAGTGCCCTTCTCCTTCTACAGTAATGACTTCCTCGTGTTTCTTCTTACAGTTTTATTCTCAAAGTATGCACTGCTATTCACTACAGTTTGTCTGCTGTTTAGAAACTCTGCTGTCTCTGGAGCCCGTCACAGCTGCACTGGTGGTGGAGCTCACGCCGTCCCTGGAGGCATCCGGCAGGTTCTTTTTTAAAAAATTAATTATTTACTTTTGGCTGTGTTGGGTCTTCGTTGCTGCGCGTGGGCTTTCTCTAGTTGTGGCGAGCGGAGGCTACTCTTTGTTGCGGTGCGCGGGCTTCTCATTGCGGTGGCTTCTCGTTGCGGAGCACGGGCTCTAGGTATGCAGGCTTCAGTAGTTGTGGCATGCGGGCTCAGTAGTTGTGACTCGCGGGCTCTAGAGCCCAGGCTCAGTAGTTGTGGTGCACGGGCTTAGCTGCTCCGTGGCATGTGGGATCCTCCCAGACCAGGGCTCGAACCCGTGTCCCCTGCATCGGCAGGCGGATTCTTAACCACTGCGCCACCAGCGAAGTCCCATCCGGCAGGTTCTTTCAGTCAGAATCTGCAGTCCTTTCTCTGGGCACATTTTTACTTGATTCCCATTGTTCTTTCAGGAGTTTCTTTTTCTCTAGGGTCTCCTTTGCTCTTTTTTTCCTTTCTTGCTTTCTCTTCTCTGCCTCTCGTTTTTCTTTGTAAACAGGACTGTTTTCACCGTTGTAGAAAACATCCACTTTCTCTTGCAGGATTCTCCGAGCTAGCTTTCTGTTTTGATCGACGGATCTAGTCTGGTGGCACTGTAAGAGATAATATTTCATAATGTGAAAGCCAGTGTGTTCTGGGCAGGACCTCAGGAATCATTAAATTCAACCTAGTCCCTTTATAGAGGGGTCAGGCCCGCAGAAGGAAAGCCACTTGTCAGGAGTCCCAGTAGGTCAGTGACAGGACAAAGGCCATACCCTTTCCTGCCTCTGCTCGGCCCCCGCCCAGTCCTACACCCCAGCTGTATTATGTGGCTTTCACTGTAACTATTCCAATATTACGAGTGTTGTTTTGTTTGGAAGTAACAGTAGCCTTCAAATAAAGTTCCCAAATAATTTTGAAAACATCAACCAGTATGTCTAAGCAAGCCCTTTGTGTGCCCCATTTATACATGTAAACTTCTCTCTGAAGGAGGAAAATAGCCTCTTTATTATTCGTCAGCCATAATACTCATTGCATAATATCTCCGTTATCACTGGTGAGTGCCTTGCAAAGCAATTTGATAAAAGAAATCCTGTGAAATTAGGATGAAAGAATAGTACCAAAAGCAAATTTGGAGTAAGCTATATAAAATAGGTTTCAGAATTTTATTTGTTGCTCACGAATGTCACTTTTTTCAAGGAGGAAAAGAAAAATGATTGAGATTCTCACTAATACGCTCTTGGCTCAGAAACGTGGCAGTGAAGAACAGCTGTTGGGAGCAGACTCTGGGTTCGGTCTGGGCTGACTCTCCTGCAGGTGCAGGAGCCTCCCTGTGCCTCAGATTCCACATCATGAGTGTAGGCTTGTGACGAAGTGGCTCAGAACAGGGCCGGCCGCAAGCTCACGTGATATGTAAGTACTTGCGAAAGGTACCGCTGGTGTGCGAAAGCCCGCCTCTGCTCTCTCTGCTGTGCCTCAAGGCTTGTGCCGCCTTCAGGGCCCTGGGGATACGGAATGGACTGGCAGTTCCACAGAGGTGGTGGGCCGCTACCAAACCAGGAGACAGGAGAAAAGCACTGCACCATTTCCTAGAGGTTCAGAATGTATTGACAGCTGGCGATATTTTGATCAGAGGTTGGTTTTTTATATTCAGAAGAAAGACTCCTACAGGCAGCTGTACCTGGCATTTTTCCTCTGAGGGCTGAAATTGGGTTGCCAACGTTACCTCACTCAGTCCTTCTCCAGAAGGGTAGGTGTCACTGACATTTACCAAAGAGGGGACGGAGGGACATGGAAAATGCGACCATCTGAGTGATCAGCCAGGAGGCTAAGGGCTGAGCCCACTGGCGGACAGCCTGGGCCTGCGTGCTGCTTGGGGGCTGGAGCCCACGGCAGTGCCGCAGAGCTTTCTGCAGCCACCCTGCAGCCCAGTGGCTCGACCAGAACCGTGGCCTGCAAGTTCAAGGACAGCAGCAGTAAGAGCGCAACTGCAAAGGATCCTGGAAGGAGGCTCCTGACGCTGTGCAGAGGTTTCTGCCTGGGAGAAACGCTCCTGACGCTGTGCAGAGGTTCTGCCTGGGAGAAACGCTCAGGACCGGGCACGAGACCGGCAGTCTCTCTACTGCCGGGGTCATGGTGAGAACAAGTTTTCACTCAGGAGAAACCAGGGGACCCCCACGGCCTCCTTCCTCTACCTTGACCACAATGCCTGAGGGGATGTGCCTGAGCACCACGCAGTTGCTTGTTTTGTTGGTTGCCTGGCCCCCTGGCCCGTGTCCTTTTACAAACTGCTCTTCAAGTTCACTCTCATCCAGGGAGAGCAGAGCAGGGTGGTCCTTCTTGCCTGCCGCCTGGACTGGAGTGACCGCTGTTCCAGGGGATAAGAGTTCCGGCTTCTCGCAGAGCCGGAGTCCCCAGGGCACCATGCACACTCTGGTCAGTGGGGTAGGAAAACGGAACAGACCCGAGGTGCTCATAGTGCGTGGCTCTGCCTGCTCAGGACCTGAATAAGACAGAAAAGACAGCCCTTCAGCCTTGTCTGCGCTCAAGATTATACCGCAGGTTCTAAAATCACCTTTTATGAACCAGTTCAAACGATGACCACCCATCTGGCAGGCAGGGGATTTAAGAAATTAGTGCAGACAGGATACTCAGCAACACACACCTCTCTCCGGCCCTGCGTTGTCTACCGTGCTCTCAGCAGTACATGCCTTGTCAACTGATAAATATTTTCTTATAACAGACCAAAAAATGTCTTCAAAGCACCCAGAAGTGTTGTTTTCTCAGGAAGGGGAGGCTTTGAGTATAAAATTCAAAAGAACAGGGCTGTAACTTGATAATGAAATATTACATAGTATATCACACAAGAATTAGGATCTGAGTCAAGGGACATTATTTAAGTGTGTGAGAATCTTTGAAATCAAAAAAATGGAAAGACGACAGAACGTGATAGTCTATTTTATAGCTTAAGCTTAAACAGTCTGACACAGTAAATATCACTATCAATCAATGTCATGATTGTTGTTTTTTCATGTTTCCAGTTTCATGGATTTGAATAGGAACATCTGTTCCCTCAGAAGCCTGCCAATCACATGATCCAACCGGTACTCATCCTTAGAACCACCAAGTCAACTGATTTTTATTAAGGTGCCTGTTACGTTCCAAGTATGAGGTGAGGTACAGGGAGTGACGTGAGGTCAAAGAGGGCAAGACACTATCTTCCTGGAGCTCACAGTCTAGTCGGAGAAGATATTCAATCAAGAAGAAAGCGAGAGGTGCTGAACAAGAGATTTCAATAACTACTCGAGAGTAGCCTAAGGCTGAAATGTCTTAGTTGACGAATAGTATAGAGAATAATAGCCATGAGGGTATGGTGAATCACAGGCCTTTGCTTTTTTTCGAGGGGAGGAGGGCAGAGGATCTGAAAGGTATCACCTCTTTTCAGAGATCTACATATTCCCCATGTGAATGGGGTCGGGGCGGGGGAGTCACAACCTTCGCCCATTTTCTCATCTGGAAAATGGGAGGAATAAGCCCTCTCCATGCAACCCAACCAGGCTTAGAGTAAAGTCAGAGAAAACAGTGTTCTGGAAAGGGCTTTGCTGATACCTCTGAAGGCATGAGACTGGTTTTTAGCAAGATCCCTGTCACCAGGACTTTCCTGGTGGCACAGTGGTTGGGAATTCGCCTGCCAATGCAGGGGACATGGGTTCGAGCCCTGGTCCAGGAAGATCCCACATGCCGCGGAGCAACTAAGCCTGTGCGCCACAACTACTGAGCCTGCGCTCCAGAGCCCATGAGCCACAACTACTGAGCCCGCGTGCCACAACTACTGAAGCCTGCGCGCCTAGAGCTCGTGCTCCACAAGAGAAGCCACCGCGATGAGAAGCCCACGCACTGCAATGAAGAGTAGCCTCCGCTCACCACAACTAGAGAAAGCCTGTGCACAGCAACGAAGACCCAACACAGCCAAAAATGAATTAAAAAAAAAACAAAAACAAAACCCTGTCACCCAGGCAGATTTGGGGAACTACAAATGTGCCACTCGCATAATACTTCTTGATCAAGGATTATGTAGGCACTAAAAACAGATATATTGCTCTTTTTAACAAGTGCTTCCTGTGAGGCTCTAAACAGCTTCTTTTACCACTTGAAACCTTGTAAATTCTAGCTCATGGCAACTGGTCTCCAACACAGGTAGGAACTGGAGTTTACCTAAGGCAACTTCCTCAGCCAAAAGTAACGTACCATCCACCAAATTATTTCACTAGGTTTCTCTCGGCTCATTTACCTTTGACCCACCAGTTCTGACGGCTAACATCCACTGGGCCCAACACTGATCGCTAGATAAGCTTAATGCAGAAACATGCTAGCAGGCATTGCTTCCTTGTAAATATGTGCATTTTGCTATTTGAAATCCAAGTGCCTTTCTCAGTTATCAGTACAGATGACATGGTCATTTTTAGAATGAATACAGTATTCATCTCTCTCTCTACTATTTCTATGGAAAATAAATATAATGAAATATACTCTTCAAGCTTTAGGCCATGCTAGTTTTCAATCCTATGACTGACACATCTTCTTTGTGAAAAGCACGATATTCAGCATGTTCTGAGCAGGTCCTGTCAGTCCCGGTGGATGATAATTAAGGTGGTGTCGGTTCGTAATGTGCTCTGTGGCTACCAAGGGAGATATTTTGAAACAGAGTATGCCAGTGAAAATGGTGCTTTGAAAACTGCTTCTGTTTACTGTGTGTGAAATATGTCAGAAGTATCCTCAGGAAAAGATAAGGATAAACCCAGGCACATTCTCTGGAATCTCTACAACAAAGAATCCACTCCCCTATAATGATTAAATGAATGAGACTAAGTTGATGTCCAAAATTTCCCTCCCCTTATTTCTGCTTTCAGTCCACAGAACAGAATTCCTTTGTGTATCAGACAGTGTCTAGTCCCTGGATTAGGTTCATGGAACAGGAGGCCAGTACCTCTCTTGGGGCTTCTCTTCCGTTAGTAAATCTGACCAGGCAGGATGGTACTGGAATACAGTGCAGCGACAAAGAAAGGAAGCAGGTCTGAGACAGGGTGAAACTCCCAGACAAAGGGCGGAGAGGACAGCGCTTTTCTCAGCTGCTTTGTCACCAGCCCACTGTGTTTCAAATCTACCTTTCTGTCCTAGTTCAGAGCTGACACACACAGGAAGGTCTCCCACCCAACTGGAGTTCGAGAAGGTCCCCAGTGTTCAGTTACTGGCTGCTTTGTTTAACAGCTAATTCCAACAGCCAATAGGACGATTCCAAATACTTTTAGTATCTCCTGGAGCTCTGGCTCTACTCCAATGGTGGCTAAAAATGACAAACACACCCATGGTTCCACTTCCCCAAAGCCCAGAGAAGAATACGGATTGGATTTCAGTTTTTGTGATACCCACAGAACAACCCGAAGTCTTCGGGGAACAATAAATGCAGCTCAAATTAGAGCTCATCGTGACATTAAAGAGAAAAATGGTCACAAGCGGTGTGCGTAAGGGGAAACCAGTGGTCACGACAGCGCACCCTTGTTCCCTCCCATGAGTGCAAGCGTCGGCCCGGCCGGCTCTCCACCCCAACTCCCCTCGGCTCTGCTCTTCCTTGGAGGGTGGCGTCTGCACTAAACAGCTGGCTGCAATTTAGGTTAAAGCCACGCTCTCTCTCACTTGGTCAAGTTAAGAGATAACAGGGCTGACGCCTTTAAAACAGGCAATGTTAATTTGTTCAATGAATATTTTCCACATCTACTATGTGCCATGCATGGGCCTCGATGGGTCCAATGAGCCTGTAGCATAAAAGAGAAATTAAGACATCTGTAAGTAAGATAACATGCCAGAGCGTGGAATGGATGACACGCCATAGAGCAGTGGTTCTCAGACTTCACTGTGCTCCCAAGTCACCAGAAGGCTGGTTATCGGGACTTGGAAGCTGCATCCTATTAGGCACCTTTCTTCCTGACTGGATCCAGCTGGTACACAGTTCCTCCTCTGGCTTCCACAGTCAGCCGAAACCAAGACTGACACCTAGCTCATGGGTGGCATGCTCAGCTCTGGAATGTGGCCTGTGACCAGAGCAAACAATCACATATTTAAACAAGATGCAGTGAGCTGAGGCTTGTTTCGCCAACAGCTGAAATGCTCTGGAGAGCGGTAAGGGGATGCTACTGCCTTTGTGTCTCTGAGACAGAGAGAGGATATCTGAATCTGGAAGACATAGGATTTCAACTCTGGACCCACCTCTGGATACCATTTGCCTAAAATTCACTGTTTAAGTAGTTTTTAGAAAGGCAGAGTACTAGTGTCTCTTAGCCACAACTTTCATGGTGTACCAACCTTGCAGAAATGTCATCTAAACTAACCGAAAGAACAGATGTGGCGATGCGCTGAAATGGGGTGCTTTAGGAAAAAAGACTGTTAAAGCTCTTGCGGCTCCAACTTTGATGCACAAATTCCCTAGGGATCCTGTTAAACAGGCTACGGCTCATCAGGGCTGGGGTGGGGCCTGAGACTCCACATTTCTAACCAGCCCCCAGGTGAGGTGGTTGCTGCCTGCAGTCCTGGCCCTTAAGATCGTCTGACTGCTGGATGAAGGCCCCACGATCATGATGGCAACGCTGGAGATGGAGAAGGTGTAAAGGAGAGAACAGGCGGGAGAGGAGGAGAAGACAAATGAATATCGAATTGAGCGAAAAGAACAGGTGAAATGGTCACAAGGGGATTGAGAAGCTGGGTCATCTGAAAAAAGAACATCAAAAACGTTGCTTCTATTACATTGTGTTTTTTTTTAAAGCTGCCTTTCTCTAAGTCTTTATTGAATTTGTTACAATACTGCTTGTTTTATGTTTTATTTTTTTAGCGGGAGGCATGTGGGATCTTAGCTCCCTGACCTGGGATTGAACCCGCATCCCCTGCACTGGAAGGTGAAGTCTCAGTCACTGGACCGCTAGGGAAGTCCCCTGCATTAATGTTCTAGAACAGCACTGTCCAATAGAAGTGTAGTGCAAGCCACATGTGAAATCCTAAATTTTCTTACAGTCACGTTAAAACCAGTAAAAAGCAGCTGATGAATTTCAATATACTTTATTTAATCCAATATATCCCAAATATTAGGACTTCAACATATCATCAATATAAAAAATTATTTAGATTTTTTTATATGAGATCTGCAAAAGCTGAAGTGGCCACGCTTACAGCACATGTCAGTCTGGACTAGCCACATGTGCTCGCGGCTACTGTAGTGGATAAGGTAGCTCTAGAATCTTGCTATCGGAGTGTGGTCCACAGAGCAGCAGCCACAGCACCCCCTGGGAGCTTGTGAGGAATGAAGAATCTCAGGACCTTCTAAATGAGAACCTGTGTGTTTTTTTCTTTTTTTTGGCTGTGCCGCACAGCTTGCTGGATCTCAGTTCCCCAACCAGGGATCAAACCCGGGCCCACAGCAGTGAAAGCGCAGAGGCCTAACCACTGGACCGCCAGGGAAGTCCCAGAGAACCTGTGTTTTAATAAGATCCTCAAGTGATTCAGAGGCACATTGAAGTTTGAGAAGCAAAGGACACAGGAATTAGCAAGTTCTTCCAACTGCTAGGACAGACACTTTTAAGAGCTATTGTTTCTTATGTTTATAATGTTTAAAAAGTTGAGACCAGAATTCAGGAGTGCTGAGTACCTGCTTAGTCATGGTCTTGCTTCCCCCTCCCGAATAAGGAGATAAGATAGGTCTCAAAAACAATGACCTAATCGATGGTGAAGGACCAAACACAGTGAGCTTTAAAAAGACAAAATGGTCAGCTGACGGCACCAGAAGCTAAGTGAGAGGGTGGTTTTCTGTGAAATGCTTAATGATAATCTCTGTCTCAGAAGTGGGTTCTGGTGCTCCCTGCCGAATGGGAGTAAAGATAACGCAGCCTTTCTCTCCTTTTCACATCTAACTCATCCTCCTGTTCTAGTTGCCTGAAATCCTTATGAGGGCTGAACACCTCCCCAAACAGAACCCCTGGGAACTTTGGCTCAGACTTGAAATAGACCCTGTCATTTCCTAGGCTGGGGGCTCTACACTCAGATAGAGCACCTTTCAGCCACAGTAAGTGTTCCCAGAGAATTATTTCTCAAATAAGAAAATGACAACAGACTGAGCAGGAAAGGACAACAGAGCTGCTATCCTTGATTTGGGAGGACAAGAGGAAAAGGAAACTACTCTGAGTTTGGTCCAAATTTAATAGGCTTACTGCTGCACAGCTCAAGAGACACTAAAGAAGTAGATAAAAAGAAAAGCTTTCAATTCATACAACACCAACATCCCGTTCAGTTTTTTTTTCACAGAAAACTTCAAATCCACGATCACACCTGTCCTATTTGGGTGCACCACTGCCATTTTCTTCTATTTATGGCACCTAACAGGAACTTTATAATTTATCAACTACACTATTAAAATAGGACAAACACATTAAAAAAGCAGCAATAACTAAACTCCACATTTTCCTCTAAAAGTCTCAAAGACTCTGTTACCATTAATGACGCTTCGTATTTGTTTAGGACTTAGGTTTTCAAAGCACGTTCAAATATGTTATCGTAGTGAATATTTCATACAGATAAAGAAAAGAAGGGATGTATACTATGTGGAATATTTCAGGAAGACTTATTTTGGAAGAACATTAGGTAGTCCATTTTTTTAAACTAAATTTGTCCTTCCTGCTGCTTGTTTCTTTACCTTTCATAACATCTCCAGATTTGTTCTTCCCCCAGCTGCTTAGAAAGCGTTAGCTCATTTTCCTCAACGGTCTCTTCTTGACTCCCCCTCTCACTTTTTTGTCCCTGAAAGGCCATACTGCTTTGTAGTCAGCGTGACCTGCATCAATGCCTTGCCTCCACGATTTACTCACTGTGCAACTCTGGCCACGTTTCCACATCTGTAAAACAGAGGTAATACCACCGAGGGAGAGAAAAAAATCGTACACGTCACCACAAACGTAAGGTGCTTAGGATCCCTACATTACAAAGCTCAGGAACCTGTGGCTAACACTCCACAAGCCCACTCTGCAAACGGATTATTTCATGGACTTTTGTTTTCGAAGCTCAGTGAAAAGGTATCTAGAAAATGACCTGCAGACAATTTTACTTGGCATGGTCCAATTTAAGAAATACTTGGAAACCATGAAATTACCGAAGATATGCTGTTTGGTGAGGTCATAATTGTGGTCTATGAAATCAGGTGCCAAAGAGAGAATTATGATGCCAAGAATATAGTGTGACTTCCCAGAAGGTTCAAATTGAAAGGTAAAAACTACCTTCATCACAGCAAGTCCTGGTTTAAACATAGAAATCTTTAGTAATTATCTGATATAGTAAAAAAAAATCATGAAGGACAGAAAAGATGAAAAAAGTCACGTTTAAATGTACACCTGATTATTCCTTTTCATCTTCAATGGTTAAACTATAAAGTTTTAGAGTTCCTCATTTTTGCTGTGGAGGACGTCCCTCCTCCAACCCCCGCCAATGACAAGCTGTTTTGTATATAAAAATAAATGACACAGAGTAACACCCTGGTTAACAAACATTAAATGCCTCAAGCCATTAGCGGCCACTGCTACTGAACAGCCTAATCTTATCCCAATCAGAATGAAAGATCTCCACTCAAAAGCTCATTGTGGCAAAAGAGGAATACTTGAGCAATACAAAGATGTTATAATAAAATCATATAGTTTTTTTTGATACCGAGCTCCATGAGCTGTTTGTATATTTTGGAGATTAATCCTTTGTCTGTTGTTTCATTTGCAAATATTTTCTCCCATTCTGAGGGTTGTCTTTTTGTCTTATTTATGGTTTCCTTTGCTGTGCACCCTTATAAGGGCATAAAATAGTGGTGTTAGCTTGTATACAAGTAATGCAAAATCTCCAGTATGAGGAGGGGGGGGTTAAATTAAGATGAATAGTTCCTACACTTAATATATACTTGAATTTCTGACACCTTCTACTTCTGTTTTCTATATTCAGAAATAATTTCTATGGACTTTAAAAACCTCATCTCTGTTTTTATAAAGCTTCTCTCTAGACCAGTTAGTCAAAAGCAGTTTCCATTCTGAATTTGTAAAAATTAAGACGCTACCAAAGAGCTTAACCTAAATTAAGAAGTAAGGTGTGAATAACCTTACCAGAGTATTTTGTATCAGTTGGTTAACAAGATAACTCAGTTAATTAGAATACTAGCTTCTGAACATGTTGGCTTATTAAAACATTAATAGATTTTTTTTTGAAAGTTACCTAAAGATGACACTGCCAAAAACAAAAACACACTCAAACTAAACAGAGTCCATCAGCAAAAAGCAATGATCTCCTGCCTCTTGCATGGTTGGGAACTAATCTCCAGGACTCGGTTTTGGGGTTAACATTTTTCTTGCAAGGAAACACACCTCCCTTTGCCTGGAGCCATCTCAGGAATCCACTTTCCCATCCTAGTGTGAGGATCTCAAGTAACAGATTTTGCAACCAACTGAAATTAGTGGTAAAACTGCTTTTTGTTTTCTGTTTTTGGGTGGACTTGAAAGAAACATGATTGCTGAAAACAGCCGTGTGCTTAAAAATGATTTGATTTTGGTTGGGTTTTAACACAAGCACAATACTGATGGGTGGATTAACACAATTGGGAGGAGGGTTCGATTTACTTAAGCTTGAACTCTCCCATAGACGGATGGGGTTTTGGAGAGGCTGAATTTCTACTGTTGAGACAAAATTGTCAGGTATTCTTAGGAGGCTCAGATCAGATGGAGTGCCTCTTGGCAGATTTGTTTTTCCAAGGGCAAATAACATCTGCTCCATCCTGGCTTCTCCGGCACACCTAAGGACAAGGCTGGCGAAGTCCCTTTATCGCGGGCTCCGGACACTCGGAGGAAAATCTAAGAGCTCGAAGTACCTTAAAGGGTAAGAACCTTTCGTCTGAGAAAGGCGAACTGACCAGTGCGTGTGAGATGGCCTGGGGGCCCACGGAAAGGGTTTTCTCTGGTCCTTCGAAAGGCTGGGCAAGAGGAAAACACCCACGATGCCTATAACAGGCCCAGCTGCGTGCTAACAGCTCCCTAAGGCTCCGCCGAGCAAGTCAACGAGCATCGTTCCATTTGTCCTCGGGCCTCGGTGGAACTGTTTTCTCCACAAGGGTGGGTTCTCCTCGCCCGCCCCTCCAAGTCCTTGAAGAGCCCCAGTGCCGACCCCCACCAGCCTAGGGTAAACCCATTCCAGGGTAAACTTAGCTCGGGTGTCCGGGCCGGCTTCACCTCACCGCCAGCGGGGCCTCAGGTCAATGGGCTGCGCGACTCAGGGTCGCAAACGGGGAAATTCACGGGTCCCAGCTCCCAGTCCTCTCTCCAGAGCCTCTTAACAATCGTGGGCAACCGTGTGGGTGTCGGGCTTCTCCGCAGACACTTACCTGACCTCAGGACTGAGCTCCCGCCCCCAACGTTCTGGGTGAACCGGAACGGCCGCAGGAGCGGGAACGCAAACGCACTCCCGCGCCTGCGCACGCGCCGTACTCCTGCCGCAGCTCCCCCTCACAAACCCGAGCCCCCGTCTTACTAACTGCGCATGCGGGAAGCTGCGGCTTCTTTCCCGCGTAGCTGCCGTGGGTTCCCAGAGAGCCAATCAGACGAGAGGACTTGACTGCAGCCCCGCCCCCCTCCCCCCAGCTTCCGCGGGCGTCGCACCTCCCTCTTTGGTGAGAGCTGGGGGCGGGACGGGGGAAGTGGACGCGCGCGCCGCGGCTCGGCCGTCTCTGCCCCCTTCCGATCATCCAATCGCAACCAAGACGCCGGGCGCGCGCACGCTCCCTCGAGCTTAACGGTCGCGAGAGGCGCTCGCCCGACACTGACATCGGCAGTGTGAACGGCGGCCAGGTAAGCGGCCGCCAGCCTGCGGGGAGCTGCCGGCCTGCGGGGAGTTGCCGGTCGCGGGAAACAGGGGACGCGACTCGAAGACACCAAGTTAGCGGCCCCCTGAGTGTGCTGATGTGTTAGGGTGGGGAAAAGACAACACTCCCTCGACGCAACCTCAGCGGAGCGCGCGGCCGTGTGGGGGCTTTGCTCGCGGCAGTGCACCTTTTCTAGACTCTGCCCTTGAGTGACACCCGCGCGGCCCAATCGCTGAGCGCCTCTTCCCGAGGGGCGGGGGGCTTGAGGGATTCCTGTCTCTATTTTTTTTTGACCAGCTTCCTGGGCTTACTTTGAGAATCACGATTGTAGTTGTTGGACCGGTGGTTTTAACTACAGCCTCCCTGCTGCCTACAATTTAGGCAACTGCGTGGGTTCTCCTCGCCTTCATACTTTAACCCGAGAGCCGCCGCCAGCTGCTGCGGTCTGGCTGTGAGCGCGAGAAAGTCAGGATCTGGCCTCAAAACCTGAAATCATGCCTTCTTTCCCCCTCTTAGGCTCCCACCAAAGCAAAACGCCTGGTTAACTTTTATATTCTCAGCAGACCCCCATCAGTCGTTCCTCTACCCCCAACTCCCTTTTTCTGCTAGGAGCTGGGGCCATCAAAAGCGTCATATTTTGTTGATGGGAGATATAAAAGTCTCTGTTCTTATACGCATTCTCCATCAGGTTCTTAAAATTTTGCATTGTATATCTTTTTTTAAAAATTTTAATTCATCCCCCACTCTCCCACCCATTCTTCCCCACTCTCACGCTCTGCTGGGAAAGCATCATCGCATTTCAAGATCCATCTGGATCTACTGCATCCGGATTAACTCAACGGGGGAAATTATAGATGGGGTTGCAGGCCGATCCGCGTCCCTGGAGAGCTTGTGTTTTCCTGCTGGAAGAGCAAGGTGATTTGAATCCAGGTATTTTCGTTGCCAGATGGAAGGTGCAGCCCCTGACTTTTTCAATACCCCATTTGTCTTTGGTGATGGGCTGAGTCACTGGGGAGAAATCCGTTTAGCTAGGTCCGGTTACCCTTGGCCTTCACACCTGTCCCTGAAGGAAATGGTTCCTTTGTGAGCTGATGCTCTCAAGGTTGTGCTTTGTAAAACCAGGCCCTAGAAAGTGGGAACCTAGAGGAACCAGAATAATAGGTAATTTTCCTCTATCGCACCCCCTGAAATTTCCATCTTGTAAGCAGCATATGTTTTCTGTATTCTTCCCCCTCCCCCACCCACTTACTCCTGGCTTTTTTTTTAAGGACATGAATTCCTTAAGAAGCAGGCATGCTGTTTGACTTGTTATAGCCAGTTTACCTCTGTACATCTAGCTTCAGTTAAATTTTAGTGGACCTGGCAAATAGTTTATTTTTTAAGAAGTGATAACATGCACAGAGTACAAAAGTACTCTACGTATACAGTATATAGTGCACTCCTTCCACTCCCACCTTCCAGCCAGTGGGGAAACAACCACTGTTAACAGTTTAATTGGCTCTTTTCAGTACGAGATTCAATATAGATACCAAGTAGTTCCCATTCATCTATTCACTGTATAAATCAACAAGCATGGATACTTGGTAGAATTTATTAAAGGAATGAACAAGGCACGTATCAATAAGTATTCCAGTTGTTACACGGTAGAATTGTGTCTGGAACCTTGATTATTAAGCACATAAAATTGTGAAATATTACCTGAAAAGGTACTACTACTTCTGCAAATCAGAAGATTTGTAGATTTTTTATTGACCTAACCACTGGACTGCCAGGGAATTCCCTTTGCCATAATGTTTTAAATGTTTATCCACATTGTAGCATAAATCAGTGCTTTATTCTTTTCTATGACTGAAAAATATTCCATTATACAGATACACAACATTTATTTATCCATTCATCAGTTGATGGACATTTGGGTTGTTTCTGAATTTTGGCTTATTATGAATAATGTTGCTATCCTTAATGTAGATTTGTATAAAAGGATTAAGGTTTCCACAGTCTTGAAAAGACAGTTGCTAGGTTTAATGGCTTTTTATAATAGTTTTTGTTCTTCATTCATTTTCAGACTCTCCTGGGACCTTCAGACATTTCACAGTCTGAATGTCAGCAGCTGAAAATGCCTTTAGACGATGAAGCATCTGAAGATGACTCAGATTCAGTTTCTTCAAACAGTGCAAGAGCCTACATTTTCCAGTGAGAGAGTGTAACAATTTCTGTACGCTATGGAAGATTTTGACTTGGGGAAACCCTTACAAAAAGCTTCATCTTCTGTAGAATCTGATATAAAAAATTCTCCCCATTCTCTTGGACTGAACTTAAGTACTAATAGGTAAGAATGGGATAGATTTTTTTTTAATGTAATGACAAATCAAAATAACTTTATTTGCATAGTTTGCCAGTTTATCCAAATAGTGTCATAGTTACTGATTTGCATTTAAAAAACCCCAAAACTACGATCAGGAACTGTTCAAGGACAGTTGTTCGGGTTAAGAATAGTTTCAATCCTTTCATGTTTTTCATTTCTCCCAGAGATGTACTTTTGCATGGGGAACATTGTGAAAAAGAATTTGTTTTGCTAGTTGGAGTTTTCTTTACACTTTTTTTGTTTTTGGTAAATTACAAGTATATCTTTAAAATTTAGTTGTCTAAATATTGTTTCTCCATTTTGAAGTTAAGAGGATAAATAATGTTTCATATTGCAAAAATACCTCACCAGTCTGGAAAGTAGCAATTAAAGTTGAATACTAGGAAGTAAGCAAAAAAGCAGGCTCTGAGTTGACAAAGTAGATACTATCAAACAATGCATTTTATGCATTTTGTTTTTAAACTATCCCATGTTTGGTTTGTTTTTAATCAGGGTCTGTTTACTCTTATTTTGTACATAGTCTGGCAAGTTGATTATTTGGTTTCTAAATTACAGTAGGTTAAAAACAGCAAAGAGGCAGGGACCACTGGAGAGGAGATCACCTATAAAAAGCAGGTACAATAAAACAAAAGCACAGCAGTCTGGGGCCTACTGGCAAAGGAGCAAATTTACACACAGTAATAGGTCTTGAAGAAATTGTGTATTTTAAATAAATTAATTCCTTAAAAAATTTGTTCATTCTTTGGCCTCAGAAGGAATTTAAGGCAGCTTACAAGAATACATAAAAGAAGAGGAGAAAGCATAAATTAAAATAGGGAGGAAAGGGAAAAAAAAAAGCATGGGATAAGGTCCAGAAATGTTGGCCATCGTAATCTATACCCACTTCCTGAATGTTGGCCACGCTTTTTGTTTCCTGTATCATTTGACAGCCCCTTTGAAACCCACTTCTAGAAGAAACCCCTTTTAGAACATAGTGTCTGATTTACTTGGAGGAGCTTGAATGTGCCTTTCTAATGAAAATTATGTAACTGAAGCGTCTCCCTTTTCATTGTGACTGGCAGTTAAATTGGCCAAATTTAAACTTGATTATTACACAACTATAATTGTATATCTAACACTTAATGGACAACATATTATGTTCTTTCCCTTGAATTTTTTATTAGTATTTTCTCTGATCCTCTTTATTATTTTACTGTTATTTTCATTAGGTCCTCTTTTTTGCAAATTGTTTGTGAAACAAAGCAGAGTATCAATAAATAAAGTGACCTTTCAACGGTTAGAATTTAAATAAATTTTAATGTCCCTAATTATGCCTTGTGGGTTTATAAAACAAATCTGAAATAAACTCATCTCAGATTCGGAAAAGCAGTCCTCCTGGAAAGGATCAGTGCTATTTTACACACTGGATAAGCTAAATAAGTCCTGAATATTTGCTGCTAATTTGGTTGGCACTACTTTTATTCAAAGACAGTGCAAAGATAAGCATCACCTTATCACACCAAATTAGGGGGATCCAGTTAACAAGACTTGACTGTAATTCTGGGCAATGGAGAAAGAATCTCCATAACAATAAAGGTCTGTTCTTAAAGTGAGGTGAAATAATCCTCTGGAATAATTTAGATCGGAGTAGCTTAGAATTTTTCTTATTGTTTAGCAGAAACTTTTATTTTCTGCTGTACTCTGGAGTGTTCTCTCACTTCTGAAGAAGGTTCTTCTGTTGTGTTCTTAAAAATACAATTAAGTGCTGCCTGTCTTTTCACTGCTGTTTTCCCTTCGTGGACAAACTTGTGATCAGATTTTCAGCAAATGAGGTGCCATTAAGAAGGATTAAATATCAGTAGTTTTGTACTGCTCTGCTAAATCTTGAACTGCTGAATTATTCAACACTTTGGTAGAATGAAGAAAACCATTTGAATTATTTATGTTTCAACAGAAGTAGTCCCCACCTTAGTACAAATGGGGTATCCTCTTTCTCAGGGAAGACCAGACCATCTGTAATTCAAGGTACAGTTGAAGTCCTAACCTCTTTAATGCAAGAGCTACACAACAGTGGAAAGACTGATTCGGAACTTTGGAAAAACTGTGAGGTATCTAGTTTTGTTTCATTTCTGGAATTAACAAAATAATTCTGTTTATAGATATGCCTCTACTAAACTCTAAATTATTAGAAATTTATATCCTAAAGAGCATGATACTTAAGTTATTGCTAGAATAAAGTGGTCAAGGATATTAATTAGGGAACAATACAGAACAAATGTGAAAAATGATCAAAGGTATGTTTTAATAATATATTAGTGATTAGACATTCTAATTTATACTTTAAATGTGAACTAAAATATTGTCTTTGTTCATAAAAATGAGAATTCCAAAATTATTGATATTGTTACTAATTCTGATCTTTTAAGTAACTTATACAGAGTTGTCATCATTTTGTAAAGCCTAAATCCACTTTGAAATATTTCTAATTATAAAGTAAGGCTTCCGTTTAATACCTTATCGCATTTAGCTGTGCTACATTGACTTATATTGGTTGTTCAGGTCAAGTGGTTCTTTCTTTTGTCCATAGGTTAAATTGTGACATAAAAATTTAACAGTTAAAAGAATACTTATAAATAAGTTTTGTTTCATGGAATAATGCCCAAGATAGACTTTTCTAAGGCTAGAGTTGGTAACACTTTGTAGAAATGTGTAAAACATTATTATTAAATTCTTTAGAGAGCAGTAGATTTTGTTGTAAATGTTAATCATAGTTTTAAAACTATGTAGAATAAATGGAATGAAAGATTATCTGGTTTAAGAATTCAGCAGCAGCCACCCCTAAGTGTAATTACTTATATTCATTATCCATAGTCATTGGAGTTATAAAAATGACTATTATGGCAAACTTAAAAGAAAACTGAGTTTTAAGTTTTGATACCTTTTTTTCCCATATAACAACCAGTATGTGCTAGTGCAAACGACCTATAAAATGCCATTGTAAAATGATGTAAATAATAATGGAATGTTTTATGAAATGCTTCCCCTAGTATACTTACTCATTAGCTTATAATACCTGAATTGATATGCTTTAAAAAAAGAAATGAGGCATTGCCTCAATGTGGCTTGACTTCTGGCAAATTCATTTTTAAGTAGAAATTGTTCCTTTTAGTCTTTGAAATCAACATCTTAAATCAGAGTCAGAATATAGTTGTGAATTTAAGACACAGATGATTACAAGCCAGAACACCAGCCAGGTACTTACACCTTTTAACATTTGAACCAGTTTCTTTCTTTCTGCCCTTTGTTCTCCTGTGATCTAACAGATTATTTTTTTCTGTTGAGTATTAGTTGACTGCTTAATTTTTATAATGTAGGCATATAATTGATTATTCGCTGAAGAGCTTGTTAAGCTATTTCTTACTTTGACAGAATATGAAATACTTGTTTGGCCATTTCAGTAAAATTTCCTGAATTTGTTTCGTGTGTTTTCATAGCCTATGAAAATAAAAGTCTCTGATGCTTTAGGGTAATGATTTAGAAAGAATGGGAAGGTAATGATTGCGCAAGTCTTATTTCCCTGAATTTCATGTTTACACCTTTCTTTTGGAATAGTAACATTTGTCTGATTTCTCCTACTTATAAGAAACTAATCTACATTATTACAGTAAAGAACTAAACCTCCACAGAGCTCTGGAAGAGATCTGGGGATGACCTGATTCTTTAGAATTCCTTTATAAAACATCTCTTCTGGGATTCTTAAGTTTATCACTGCTTAAACTTGGGAAGGTTATGTATTTTTATTAGATCAGGAAAGAATCTTTTAAGGCATTTCCATAGAAATACTTTAATACGTTCTTAAGTACTTGCTAATATTTCTGTGATTGTAAGAAAAATTTAAAAGCACATCATTAACTAAATTATTTTAACAATTTAGCACTACTGATTATGTATATAATAGTAATAGTTATGTGGTAATTATTGAGTATTTGCCGGGCAGTATACTAGATACTTTCTGTCAGTGGCACTCAACCTTATTGGACCCAAAGCCCTCTTTTTATAACAGTTTTCAAAATAACATCAACTTATATTGTCCTGAAATGAAATTCACAGATAATATAACCTGCCTGTATCTGCTTTTAAAAAAAAATCAATGTAATGTCCTGTGCTATAAAAGAGGAATAATAGTTACTTATAATAAGATAATATGTAAATGTATAAATACTCAGACATATCCACATTAGAAAACATAATGTAGCCGCAGTCTGGTGTTTACTTCTATGTAGACTCACCTTGAACGCAGCAGCTATCAACACAGACTGATACATCTGCCTTGCACTGATGATCCACCACTGCAACTGGTGACATGATTTTTTGAAATGGTGACTCATTTCTGAGCAAGTTCTGAAACATCTTGGTAGTTGCATTCCTGGACAATTTGGTGATTTGAAAACTATGCAAAATATGTATCATTTTTATAATATAAAATGGACACAGGACAGTTCTTTATTGTCAGGGACTATCCTGTGATTTGTATCCCTGGATCCTGCCCACTAAATGCTCGTGGTGCTCCCGCTATCCTTGTGACAACCATGACCTCACAGATTTTCAAAATATACTTCCCCCATTGAGATCACTGCTTTACGTGCATCACATTTAAATTTAAAATTTAGTCCTCTCAGCCACCTATGAGGTGTTGCTGTTCCCCTTTTATAATTAGGAAACTGAGGCATAAAGAAGTCAAATTTACGTGTTTAGGACCACCCAGGTTGTTGGTGGAGAGGTGGGAGTCTGGCCTGGGAAAAGCCCATAGGATGTTTCCCAGGCCAGACTAGAGCAGCGGATGGCAGCAGCCCCCGTTCAGTCTAATAGGGCCAGGCACCTGCGCTCAGGGGAAAACTTGGCACCCATGCCCTCCAGCAGTATGTAAGATGCGGGTGGTATACATAGGTTTAGTTGGAAATGAATAATAGCCCTTCTTAATAATTAAGTGTATAATGTTATTCACAGTATTAGTAATATTCTTAAATTAGCTTACTTAAAATTAAAACATTAACAATAAAGTCTGACTTGGAAAAACAAAGTCTCCACTAATTTATGGCCTGAATGAACTCTATTCATTTGTATCCTAAATAAGAAAATGATGATAAGGATGTGATTAATCTCAAGTGTCTCACATACTATGAAGCCATTTTTTGTTAAGTAAATTGTTATTCTATCATAATTTAGTTTTATGTGAATAATAACTTTATTAGGATAAAAATAACTCCTAAAGGTATAGAGGTATAATTGAATAAGAAAACTGTTGCCTGATGATTTCTTTTATGTTTTGATTAATATAAGATACTTTATAAGTTGAGAAGGTAAGGGACTTGATTTGATCTAGTCCACCTTGTTCTGAAGTCAATTGATTTAGATTTCACGCTTCCTATCAGTACCATCGTATTTCATTTTAAGGCTTCCTTTTCCAGTCTTGAGGTTTTCTCCACTTTACCTTAATACCGTTATACAGGTTTCAACTTAATTCTGTTATGTAAGTGGCTTTCACCATGAACCTGAAGGGTCTCTGGATTGTGTAGTCTATAATACCAAGAAAAGCGCAGCTAGCAGTATCCATTGTTATACACTCGTTTAGACTGTGTATCTGAGTGTCCACTCTTGGCCTTGTGTCCTAGGTGCTGGAGATGGGGTGGGCGCAGGGGTGGGAGACAGACAGGTTAACCAGGAGAACAAGTGAGAGACTTTCCGACTGTGGTAAACGCTCCGAAGGAACTAAACAGGGTGCCAAGAAAGAGAGAGAGTGACTGTGAGGGTGGTCTGGGAAACTCTTCGAGAGAAGGTGATAATTGAGCTGAAATCGCAGCGGGGAAAGAAGCCAGCCATGTTGAGAACTGCGGAGAGGGCTTTCCAGGTAGAGGGTACAGCGAGTGCGAGACTTTTGAGGCGGAAGACAGTTTTGGCGTGTCCAGGGAACAGAAGGGGGCCAGCGAGGCTGGTGTGTGTCGAGAAAGGGACAGAGAGATTTGAGATGAAGCTGGGAGGTGTAGATCAGCCGGATCACGCAGGGCCCTGTAGGGAATGACCGGAGTGGAAAGGCACCGAAAGGTTTTAAACAGGGAAGCCAGTTGTGGTAGCTACTTGTTGACATTGTATGTTATTACATACGGTCTGTTACTGAAAGTAGATCAGCCTTTAGATTGAATTCAGCCTCTGGAGAAGTCCTTGCCTCCTCTCCTCCCGTGTTTTGGCCTAGTCTAGTTATAAGAGCACTTAACTACTCTTGGGGGTCAGGATGGATCAGGACCTAAAAGTGGCCGTGAAGGGAATTATAGGTCACTTCCATAGGTTTTCAGAGTCATTTTTTCATTCTTTTTCAGCTGCAGTGCTTTAAAGCACTTTAATATCTGACTCTAAAAGAGGTTTTTTAACTTGAAGAACAACTAAATTAGGGATCAAATTCTCCTAATAGTAAACTATTTGTGGTTTTAAGATGTGGGATTCTTTTTCTGAGTCCAGGTTAATGTTTAAGAAAACCATTAGGTGTTATGAGGAAAGGAAGAGGGACTTAAGACAAATGTAAAGTACAACTAGCAGCAGTTCTTGATTAATCAGAAATGGTAGCAGATGACATCAAATTAAGATGCCATATTTGAAAAGGAAGATTTACTCAGACCCTCAAATTTACCCAGACCACAGGTAACATAAGAAAGGGGTGCCCAAGCCTATGTCTGTGTACTTTTGCATTAAATATAGTTTTATAATTAATTTAGCTTATGACTTTTACATTAAAAACACATTTTTAAAAAAGGCTCTTTCCCCCTGGAGGAATATTTCTGTGAAATATTAGGTTAAAAATTTATGTCTAACTGAAATACTTTATAATTTACTAGACCAGGTGGTTACAACTATTCAGGTTGGTGGAAAAACACTGCCAGGAGCAGATAGATGCCCAGCAGGAACAGTTCCACAGCCAAATTCAAGTAAGTTCTTTATACTGATTCTTGTTTTATATTGTAAGATTTGCAGAAGAACCAATTAGTTAATTCTTTTCCCCCCTTTTTTTTGGAGGAAGGAAGGATTCATGACTTGCAGCAAATGAGGAGAACACCAGGGATCTTTTCCCAAAGCAGTGTCTCCCCAAACTGCAGAACTGGGGACGTTTTAAACTAAGGGTACATGCATAATCGTGAGGGGGCTTAAGCAGAGGAGAACTCAGCATAGAATTGGGACAAAGGTCCACAGAGTCCAAGCTGTAGTCGATTGAAGTCTGGAGGGTCAGCATTATCATTCCATCCTCCACCTGGGTGGGGGCCCGAGTTCCTGGTGTCAGCGCTTACTGAAGCTCAGGTTCTTTGTGTCTCATCCCAGGAAGAATGCAGTGAGAGACAAAGTGATAGGTAAGAAGTAGATTTATTTATTCAGAGGTACGCATTCCGTATATAGGACTCGGACTGTCTCTAAAAGGTGAGAGTGGCCCTGGGAGAAATGCCAGAGTGTGGGCCATCTCAAAGATCCCAGTTAGTTAGTTCTTTATATCAGTTTTGTTTATAAACTAAATATAATGCACATGTGTCATCTTTAGGGTAATATCTCTTATTTTTAAACACAATATTTTAAGACATTTATAAAAATGTGATGTTAATATACATCCTTGGCCAAATCTGTAACTTTTTTATTTTCAGCGTATACAGAAGGAGATAAAAAATTTAGTCAAGTTACAGACCAATAATGCTTCCTGGGCTTCCTGTGATAGAAGTTCTTTAAGCAGACAAATATCTTCAGAAAGTCAAATGGGTTTTTTTTCTGAAAACAGTGAGAGAAATGAATCTGTTATCAGTTATCCCAAGTCTAAAGAACCTGAAATGCAGCGAGAAACATCCATGTCACAACCAGACTGCAATGTGGATAGTAGCTCAGTGAGCAGTGGGTATGGTACCTTTTGTGTCTCAGAACTAAATACCTACAAATCTAAGGACGCTCAAGAGTTCATGGAGCACGCAGAGGTTTCTAAAGGACAGTTTGGAGCACCGGTGGTGCAAAAGGAGTCACTTGCAGATGGTGTGAAAAACCAGAGTTTTTATATACATACAAATGAAGAATTTTGTGCATCTTTAAAGGAAGATACTCCCATTTTTCCTGGTGAATTTGAACACAGTTTTCTTGGTGAAAATAAGATTTCGGAAGTATACAGTGGAAAAACAGATAAGTAAGTAGAATTTCTCCATCACTTGAAGGGAGTTTGACTTGTTTATTACATTTATAATAAGCTAAACATGTTTAGTAAATACAGCTGCTTTTAGTTGGAATGAGATGTGTTTGAATGTCTATCAGTTTTATCAAATTGTTTTATTTACTGCCTGTGGAAAAAACTGAAATTAACAAAGCACACTACATGCTAATGACATCTGTCTTCCCATTTACAATGTTATAAGACTACTAAAACTCTTAAGGTGAGAGGCCTTGCCAGAAAAATACCTTTTGTATTTTCTAGTCACTATCGACTTGCTGAAAATTAGAGTATAGGACTGCATCAACAGTGGAATTTTGTCGCACATGTTCATATAATTTAAAACAAAAAATTATATACAAGCATACTCAGTTTTATGTTTTTTGTTTATAAGAAGAGATTTTGTAAGTTAAATGACATTTTGATTGACCCAGGTAAGAGAAACTTTTGGTAAAAGAAACTTTGGCTGAATGTTTGTAAAGCAAATAATCACTTAAAATTATGTTCCGTTTTATGTCTCTGAAATATGTCATCCAGTGTAAGGTATTTTGCTGTGGCAACACAATCTTGGGTACCCATAAGTATAATTGTAAGGCCATCTAAATAAGTATGCTTTCACTGTGGAGATAATACTGAGTACTTGAAGAGGCCACTATGGTGGTTTTTGTTCTGTTCCATGGCTACAGACTATAAGTATTGTTAATCACTGCTAGTCAGTCTTTTTCTTCATTTTGCCTTTAATAGTAAGATATTGTAAGAAGAAATTTATGTGAATCAATAAAAATCCATCCTCTCTCTGCTATTAGAAAAACAACTCAAAGCATTTTTCACTGACATAGTATCTACTAGTGTTTAGTTGTATTTGTGAAGGACAGCATTTAAAGAGAGGTGTTTTGTTTTTTTCTTTTTAAATAGTAAATCTATAACATCATGGGCTCAAAAGCTGAAGCAGAACCAACCAAAGAGAGCACATAAAGAAGAGGGGTGTCTAAAACCTATGCAAGGAAATGAGCAAACCAAGAAATCACCAATGGAGAAAGTAGGTGATAAGTCACTTGACTCTGGCATGCTTCATCTATGGACAATTAGGATAATTATGTTGATTTTACCACATGTTCATTAACATTTGTTCTTTGTTTTGTATTGTTAATTTGTTCCATTGACATATCTTTTTTGGTGTCTCAAAGGATGGGAAACAATGCTCCAATTAGTGGTTCTTTAGTAGACTGGAAATCAAAACCAGTGAGGGATAAAGTACTACTAAAAAAAAAGGAAACATTTTGTAAAGGTCCTAATTCTCTTTGTACTGCAAATGTTTACGAGTAATACATTGTTTTTTAAAAAACCCTCAAATGATTTGTTCTGCTGTTAAGTTGTAATAAGTAGTACTCTATGTGTGAACGCTTTAAGATGCAATTATAAAAACAGTTGAAGCTTGGACAACTCTGAATTTATAATCCAAATTGTAAGAGATTGAATGTTTAAATTCTAAACATTTAAATTCCTTTTGCTCATATAGCAGCCGCTTTTGTTAACGAGCTATAGCTACTGAGTAAGTTTTAAACATCTTTAAAGACCTTTTGGCCTAAATTGTCATAGAATAACATTGTTTAGTATAATACATTGAAATTGCAAAGTCAAGTCTCTCTACAAACTTGATTCCTTTGGAAACTGGCCATGTCTTGATCATCCTAAACATAGTCTTTCCATCTTCCTTTGAAAAAGATCTATTAAAGAATAGAAGTTGTGGGGACATTCCTGGTGGCGCAGTGGTTAAGAATCCGCCTGCCAATGCAGGGGACACGGGTTCGAGCCCTGGTCCGGGAAGATCCTACATGCCGCGGAGCAATTAAGCCCATGCGCCACAACTACTAAAGCCTGTGCTCCTAGAGCCCGTGCGCCACAACTACTAAAGCCTGTGCTCCTAGAGCCCGTGCTCCGCAACAAGAGAAGCCCCCGCAATGAGAAGCACATGCACTGCAATGAAGAGCAGCCTCTGCTCGCCGCAGCTAGAGAAAGCCCGCACACAGCAAGAAAGACCCAACGCAGCCAAAAATAAATTAATTAAAAAAAAAGAAGTCGTAAGAAGGCAGTCCCCCAGCCTTCATAAGGCAATATTTCTCTTTCAGTAAATTTTCTTTCTTCAGCCCATGATACTTAGGCTTCTTGATATCATCATTTTTTTTTTTTTTTTTTCGGTACGCGGGCCTCTCACTGCTGTGGCCTCTCCCGTTGCGGAGCACAGGCTCCGGATGCGCAGGCTCAGCGGCCATGGCTCACGGGCCCAGCCGCTCCGCGGCATGTGGGATCATCCCAGACCGGGGCACGAACCCGCGTCCCCTGCATCGGCAGGCGGACTCTCAACCACTGCGCCACCAGGGAAGCCCCGATATCATCATTTTTTTAACTTACATTTGTGTTGAGGAGGGAATTGAAGGTGAAGAAGCTACATGAACCGTCAAGCCTTGGAGGCTGGTGCTGTATTGGTAGCTCTGTTCTTTTGAACTTGTGTGCCATCAAGCATGGTATATCCTTATTTGGTGTGGTGACATAAAAGCATTTGGAGACTGGGGTGAAAGTTGTTTTTTTCATTGGAATAGGTTGGCAGAAATGGAGAATGTTTTCATATATAGTAGCTTCATTTTTTCTGTTTTTACCTTAACTGAAACTCAGTTTGTGGAGACTTTTTCACTTCTGATGAACTTTGGATTTGTGGTGTGTAACTTGGTGGATTCACTGTCTTTTGTGACTGTGGATCGGTATTTGTTCTATGTAACCCTGTGGTTTCCAGAATTTGCTGCACATTGGAGTCACCTGAGGAGCCTTAAAAATCTACTTATGACTGGCCGCCAGCCCCAGGTGGTCTGTCCTCATTGGTGCAGTTGTGACCTATGATCAGGTGGTTTAAAAGCTCCTCAGGTGATTCTTATGTGCTGTAAAGCCTGGAACCAATGATCTAGCCTAATTTTCTCCCTTGATTCAGTGGAGAATTGACAAGCAGCTGAAGGATCAGAGACACTGCCTGAGAAATATGCCCTTGTGGGGGATAGGTCTACCTAGTAGCCTGTTCTGCCTCTGGGGATGTCAGTTGCGCAGGGGGTAAAGCTGTGATGAGGGCATGATTCCGTTTGAATTTTTCCTTTCTTTGATCATCTCTGGACAAGTTTTATTTTTCCTATTTTTTAAAGGTGAATTAGATATTTTTGCTATTAAATCATTAGGGGAAATCAAGTTTCTTTGGTGTGTCCAAGTTTTAAATGGCTTTCAGGTAGTGGTGGTTATTGAATCAGACACCACACCTGAAATGCACTTCTTACCTGCATAATTCTGAATCAAATTCTGTGGATTCACAAAAGTTGGAACTTTCTTCTTTAGTTCCTCCTTTCTCTTCTCCCATTGTTTTTTTTTCCATTTTCACTATAAATCCAGGGAATCTTTATGATCAGAATTCTCTTGGGATCCAGTTTTCTTTTTATACAAGGTAGTTTATTTGGGGTCCTAGCTATCTTGAAGCATGTCTTGAAATTGGATATTGTTTAGCACAAGGATTTTCCAAAGCTCAAGTCGGTCTTTGTTTCCTTGGTCCTTTGTCTGGGACAGACTGGCTGTTACCATTTCCCCAGGTGTGGGCTCCATGGTGGTTTTTCAGATGCTGCTAGACTGTTACTGATGAAGATCCTGTGCTAGGCTGAGGCCAGCTTCTTGGGAAGGGCTTTCCTTGCACCATACTTTCGTTGCTTTTCAAAAGCCAGGCCTGTTTTCTTCAGCTGATGCCTTGTGGCCCGGAAGAGTGCAGCAGGCCGCCGTGTGAAGTGAGCCCCCTCCAGCCAAGGGGGCGTGTGTCGACTGAGCACGTTAAGGTTTACACCAAAGAACCAGGAAAAAGTCAAAATATTTTAATTGGGATTTTTCACTTATTCTTCTGCAGTCAGCTTCTCTTAGTCTGTTAAGTACAGAGACGCAACAGAAGTTTGAACAGGTAGGCGCCTTAGGAGAGACATTTGATGAAAAGGAGGCTAAAGTGGTGCCTTAGAAGGCTGAGGGGATAAGCCCTCCTTGGCATGTAGAATGTCATCAGCTTAGCGTGCTTTTGCTTTTGCAGTGGGTTCACAGGTGGTTGTAAGCAAATAGAGCTAAATACTTTTCAACAGGAATTAAAAGTTTGATGGTGGTGAAGCTCATAAGAAAAATTCTGATGAAAATCACATATCTCTCTGGGGAAACACAGATTTCTTGTGACAATGCCAGAGATATTGTGAGGAGAGTTTAGCTTAGAATTTTTATTAGAATTGAGGATAAGTAAGCATTTTTAGCCTTTTCTGGTAACCAATTATTTGCATGTAAGATGTAGTCTACTATTTAAAGTTCATAGTAATTATTGATATGCAGTTTTCAGAGTTGATTTATTGTCTTAATGATAAAAATGAATTGTTTTGGCTTTTACACTAATTTTTATACTACATGACTTTAATTCTAGGCACTTGAAGTTTCTTTTGGAAGTCGATGGCAAATTATAAATACATTTTCTTTTTTTAAAAAAATTAATTTATCTTTGGTTGTGTTGGGTCTTTGTTGCTGTGTGCGGGCTTTTTCTAGTTGTGGTGAGCGGGGGTTACTCTTCATTGCTGTGAACGGGCTTCTCATTGCAGTGGCTTCTCTTGTTGCGGAGCATGGGCCCTAGGTGCACAGGCTTCAGTAGTTGTGGCATGCAGGCTCAGTAGTTGTGGCTCGCGAACTCTAGAGCACAGGCTTAGTAGTTTTGGCGAACGGGCTTAGTTGCTCCACGGCATGTGGAATCTTCCCGTACCAGGGCTCGAACCCGTGTCCCCAGCATTGGCAGGCAGATTCTTAACTACTGCGCCGCCAGGGAAGTCCATAAATGCATTTTCATTCTGCACTCATATTGTCTGCTTCCGGTTTCCTCTTTCATCTCCACAGAGAATCAAAATAAACTTTTGTAAATTACACAGGAATAGAAAATCCTTCATTGTTAATTCCTATCATTTTGCGATTCTTGTAACCGTGGGGAAAACCAGGCTTGCTTTCTTTGTGAACCTCTGAAAGTTTCTCTACGCCTGGGTTTGACACCTGGCTCTTATTCCTTGTGTCAGCAGTCTGTGCCTAAGGATTTTTAGCTGGCAACTAATGGTTTTCTTTCTTGAATTGTAGTCTGATTTCACTGCTGCTACACATTCTCGAGCTTTTTACCTCAACAAACCAGATGAGAGTCCAAATTGTTGGATGTCTGATTCAGGAACAGGTATGATACTTATATTTCTAAAGAGTTTTTTTCAAAATAATAACGTGTGCATATTAGAGTGGTTTCTGTAAAAGTATTATGTGTTGTCTTGTGCCTCTGGTAGCTGTAACCTCATTACTTGCCTTACTTTGTGTTACAAGTTCTGTAAAGATAGAAAGCAGTACTTTTGCAATTATTTCAAACAGCTGCAAAAATCATCTCAGCATTTTTCAGATACTCCAAAATGAATTAAGAAATTCAAACTGTCTGTAAGCCATTCTTTACTCTCCACGGTGAGCTTATTTTAGCTTTAATGGCTTTACATACTGACTCCTTTTTCCCACAACCCCACATCCAATTCAGGATGAATTAGCTTTGCCTTGTGAAAATTACCATGATCCGATCACCTGTCACCACCTTCCTGCTCTCACCCTAACAGAGCCCCATCACCTATCCCCTGGCTTCCCGCGAGCTTCCTAACCAGCCTCCCTGCTTTCACCCTTGCAGCTTCCATCTGTTCTCAACACAGTAGCCAATGTGATCCTTTTTAAAGACAGGTCAGATCTTGTGACTCCTCTGCTCAAGCCCTGCGGTGGTTCCACTTCCCTCAGAATAACAGTCGGGAGGGAGTCTGTCCTTACAGAGGCCTGCAGGCCCGGAGACATCTAGCTCTGCTCTTTGACCTCACTGTCTGCTGCTCTCTCCCTTTCTCTGCTTCAGTAGAGAGGCTGTTTGCTCAAATATGCCAGATAAGTTCTCATTTTAGGGCTTTTGCTTTGGCTGCTTCCTGTATGTGGAATGTTCTCCCCCGCCCCTTACGGGGGCGCTCCCTCATATATGGCTAACACGGCCAACCCTGACCACCCTATTCAGAAAGAGCACCTGCCCTCCCTTCCACACGCACTGCATATTCCCTTACACTGATTTGTAACTTTTACTAGAGTGCTTACCACCTTCTGACATACTGTGTGTACTGCATGATTGACTTACGGTTCACAGCTCACTCTTCACGCCTCCTCCTCCCCAGCTGGTACAGTAAACGCTCAATAAGGATTTGAATTACTGAATTCTTTAGATTGCTTCTATGTATGTCTGTACTGTGCGTAAACGAATTGTCTTTAAAAAAATATTTTAAATTGCACGTGTTTATCTTGACTTTTAATAATATGATAGTTCAGTTTAAAATATTTGGATCATTAAGCTAGGACTCTTACATGGCAAGGCATTTATGTGAATTTTTTCCCTTCCAAATTCAATTTCCTGTATCCAGATAGCCAAAAACTTCCCGTATTTAATTTTCTTTAGGTAAAAATAAGTTATTCTAGAGCACATAGTTCCCATGTTTAATTTTCTTTAGGTAGAAATAAGTTACTCTGAAAGCATTTTTGTTCTTTTTCCTCACCTTATCTATTCTGTGTATTTGTTCACATTAGGACTGACTTACTGGAAACTGGAGGAGAAGGACACGTATCACTCTCTGCCTGGGACTCCAGCCGCCTCCACGGATACGTCACCAAGCCAGGTAATTTAATAACCCGCGATGCACGTGTGTATTTGTTGTACAGTTGTATACTCTGGTTCATTTACAAAGTTTGTATTTTTCAATTTCTGATATACAGAAAAAAGCATGGGCTTTAAATCATATCTGCCTGCTTTCAGGTTTGGTCTCTGTCGTTCACTGCCTGTGTGATCTTAGGAACGTTACTTAAAAATGGAATTAAAAATGCCTGGTTAGTGTTTTATGAAATGAAATGACATGGTTTTGTGCCCACTATTTTAAATATAGTAGGTACACAAATAAACTTCTTCCCCCGTTCCCAGGCGTGGTTTTGATTTTCTGTTCTGTTACACCCTCCCGCTGATCCGTTTGTATCATAATTATGAGCAATTTAATTTGCTGTTTTGATTTTCTTTGAGCAAGAAATGTAAATATTTTGTTGACTTCAGAGCAAAGAAATAAAAATATCCAGTATTGTACATCGATGTATATATCTCACTTCTGTGTTTAGATCAGGAGATGAGAGAACAGGTTGGAGGAAAGGAGAGATACAATTAAAGTAACCAGGAGAGCTGTAAACACGAGTGACAGGCATAGATGGATAGGACAACATGGGACCAGTGTATTTTTGGACATCGGAGTCCCAGAGAGGGTGGGAACCAGCATTCTGTCCTTCAGGAAAGGAGGAAAAAAGAGACAGATAAACACTAAGAAGGAAGGCGGGGGGAAGTGAGATTGAGGGGTCTGGGAGACTCGGTGGGCTTTGCAACTACAGGGCTCACTGTTTGTGTTTCTTGGTCTTCAACATCAGTAAATTAACACTATATTTTGTTGACTCAAAATATAAAGTTGCCATCAATTTTAAGACTTCCTGTTTCATATTCTACCAAGAAAAAAAATTCATCAATCCGACGGATACAATGCTTATCCCTTAGAATTTATATTTTGTAGACTTAAACATATATTTTTATCCTATAATTCTCGTACATACTTATGGATAATATAAGTGAAGTAAATTAGTTGAAACTTCTTTACCTACGGGAGCTTACACTCCACACTCCTCTCTTTTTAAGTCAGTGTTGGTTTCTGTGTTTTCCACATGCCATTTCCCTTGGGCCACCAGGAGCATTGGTGACTTGGCATTTCTTTAAAAAAGGATGAAAGGCCTTGGTGCTGAGTTTTTACCTGGCTTAGTAGTTATGTAGGACTGGCCTGCTTTTGACTCTGAGATGGGGAATGTTGCTAAACATGTCTGATTCACTGTCCCTTAAATATTGCTTCTCAGGGGTTCCAGCGTAGCCTCTAGGATTTTCTTCCAAGCTGCTGACAACTATTTGGCCAATTTTGAAAGCTTTTCTATTTGCTTATGAGCAGGCAGTGACAATTATGTCACAGCTGCTACTTGACCAAAGGCATTTGTAAGATGCTGTTAATTACAAGAGACATCCTCACTTCAGAGATGTTAAGATATGACAAGAAGAGAAATCATAAAAGTGGTGAAAAGGAAACTCCCTAGCAGTCCAGTGGTTGGGACTCTGAGCTCTCACTACCGAGGGCCTGGGTTCAGTCCCTGGTCGGGGAACTAACATCCCACAGGCCACTCGGCACACCAAAAAAAAAAAGGTGGTGAAAAATATTACCTTGTATTACAGTGAGCTGTAAATAGCATAGTTGCAACTGTTCACCCAGGGCAGGATTCCTCAGGCTGTAGCCATAGTCCAAGAGCTGCTGCTTGGCATAGATTTCAGCACTTGAAAAGGCTTCCAGGTTGTTGGTGTATAAAAAGTAAAATTTCAAAGCAGGATTACAGAAATTGTGGTAAATTTTAAGGGTTTACATTTAACAAATTAATGCCTTTAATGCACACACAAAAAGTATAATTAATTGTCTTTTTCACAAGCTAGTTATAGAGTTTATTAAAAAAAACATTAGTTCATGGTGCTCTGCAGTCTGTCTATGTAGGGTCTGGAAATGGGACAGTTTAAAAGTTTAAAGCTATAGGACAAATGTGTTCTTTCAGTGCTTTCAATGTATCTCTCACTCAATCTGTAATCTCATTTGAGAGAATGTCCACGTTAGTTTAAATTTGAGGCCCAGGGTTAAATGGTACCCCTGTCACGCCCTACAATAAGTCCCACATTGAAATAATTTAAGCCCAGTGTTTTAATATTTGGAGTTTAGGTTTGTAACACTTCCAGTGTAGCAAAGCTCTGATTTCAGCTGTAGAAGTTAGGATTGTATCTTCTTTTTTTTTAAAAAAAATATTTATTTATTTATTTGGTTGTGTGGGGTCTTAGTTACGGCATGTGGGCTCCTTAGTTGTGGTATGCAAACTCTTAGTTGCGGCATGCATGTGGGATCTAGTTCCTCGACCAGGGATCAAACCTGGGCCCCTTGCATTGGGAGTGAGGAGTCCTATCCACTGTGCCACCAGGGAAGTCCCCATATCTTCTTATTTTACTAATTAAAAAAGGGTCTTATTTTGATTGGGTAACTTCTTTCTTAACACTTCTTGTTGTCTGCCAACTCTTAAACACGAATATAACTACAGAGCTGGGGAACTCCACCTTTTGACACCTGTCCCTTTGAGTCACAGGAAATTAATCTGGACAGAAGGTTTCTTGCCCTGCTTCCTTCATTCATTATGAAGTCTTTTCTTACCTCGAAGCTTTGTTCTTATTTTGAGTAAGGAGATTACCAAGGATTTTATTCTTTGGAAGTGTTCTTAGGCTGCTAAATATCTTAGGTTTAAATTATCCCCTTAATATTTATTGTTAGAGGGTATGAAAATTTTTTCATTCTGAGGGAGCCTCATAATAGGTAATGACTTCCAAACTCTTATTACAAATCTGGCAGTCTGGCATCTCAGTTTATTTTAAATTTTTCAAAAATCTTTTTATGGTGCTGATCTTGATATCAGGAAAGTAAACTTTTTTCATCATTGATTCGTTTATAATGTTTAAATAATTTTGTTTCATATCTTTAAGTCTAATACTAGTAATGAGATGAAGCTACCATCACTGAAGGATATTTATTATAAAAAACAGAGGGAAAACAAGCAGTTACCTGAGAGGAATCTCCCTTCTGCTTCCAACCCAAATCATCCACCGGAGGTAAAGTTGACAGCACTCTGCTGAGTGACAATGAAAGATGACTCATGACTCTTAACTCTCATCTTGAGCTTCCTTTCCCCTAGGAGATCTAAAGCCTACTCACTTGAAAACGAAAACTGAGTACAGAGGGCGAGAGCTTACTGTTGTCTGTCTTATTTCTAGGTACTGACTCTACACCCAACGTTACACCTGAAGCCAAGTCAGCAGATTTCAGGGATTCAGCCACATGGCTTTTTGAATGCCCTTGATGACAGAATATCCTTCTCACCGGACTCCGTTCTAGACCCTAGTATGGCTAGTCAGTCTGACATAGACTCGTTTTCACAAGCAAGTCATGTTACTTCTCAGTTATCTGGATTCCCAAGATATCCTTCAAGTACAAAAGTGTCTCCGGTGGACTCTTGGAAAAATCATGCATTCCAAAATGAAAGTAGGACCAGTTCCACGTTTCCTGCAGTATATACTATTGGTAGTAACGACATCTCAGTCAACAGTGTAGATGAAGAAAACACTGGCCTGGTACCTTTTGCCTCAGTCAGTCAGTCCCAGCTTCCAGGTACAGCCAGTGGTGTCCCAGAATGCATTTCACTGACTTCCCTGGAAGATCCTGTGATATTGTCTAAGTATGTATTTCAGTGAATGGCTTGTAATGTCAATAGGTTTTTTATGATGTCTGCTTGAGTGATGAAAATTGTTTTTATTGAACTTCAGTAATGTATAAAAAATTAAAAAGATAATATAATGTTTATAAGGTAGACCATCTAAAAACTGTCTTTTTTTTTTTTTGCTTTATAAGTTGTCATCTTGTGTATTAATCTATTATATTTTCTGTGGGTGTATAAAGGAAAAAGGCTGTATTTTTATGTATGAGAATCATTATGTTCTTGGTTTTTCTTATTGAGATAGTGAGGAGATGCTTTCTAAATGATGTTTTTTCCTCTCACCAACAGGGTTAGGCAGAACCTGAAGGAAAAGCATGCTCGACACATCGCAGATCTTCGAGCTTATTATGAGTCAGAAATAAATAGTTTGAAACAGAAACTGGAGGCAAAAGAAATTCCTGCAGTTGAAGATTGGAAGAAAACCAATCAAATTCTTGTAGACAGGTAAGACTTATAATTTAACTGTAAAGTTAGTGTTTCTCCAACTTGAATATATTATTTTCCCCAAAGTATAACATATTATGATGTTAAAACACTTTGAAAACGTGTGCTTTAGATTTGAAAATTTTCACACAGAAACATGTTTGCCTAAGTAATTATTTTTAAAGATTTGAGGGAATTCCCTGGCAGTCCAGTGGTTAGGACTCCTTGCTCTCCCTGCGTAGGACCCGGGTTCAATCCCTGGTTGGGGAACTAAAATCCCGCAAGCCGAGGGTGCAGCCAAAAAATAAAGATTTGAGCCATCCTCTTACAAAACACTGATAATTGATGAGGACATTTGTTTTGTGTGGGCGAAATACTGAGATAGTTGAGCAGATTTTGTATATGTAAAGGAATGTCATTTATGGGAGAATTAATGCTCTATGGATTCCCTAATAAGTCTATGATTGATGTCCTGGGGCAGTTCTCAACCTTTCTTCATACCCAGAAATGCATAACTTTAACCCAGACACTCATGAACCTGTGGAAACAGTTATCTCATTCAAAAAAACCATAGACAAACAGGGGAGAACGGTCTTATACTAGGGATAGCTTTCCACTTATTTTAGAGAGAGAGAATCATTTACAAAATTTGATGTTTTTACTAGTATTAATAGCAGCGTACTTGAGGGACTTCCCTGGCTGTCCAGTGGTTAATTTAAGACTCCACGCTTCCACTGCAGGTGGCTTGGGTTCGATCCTTGGTCGGGGAACTAAGATCCCACATGCCATGCGGCACGGCCAAAAAAATAAAAAAATAACAGCATACTTGCAACATACTTTACAAATGGTATTAAACAGATTGAAAACTGATGGAGTCTAGGTGACAGCAAAGTCTTCTCTAGGGCAAAAAAGACAAAACCCCTAGAGAAAAGATTAGGAGGGAACTGAAATCTGATCCAGTTAACAGTTTAATTTGGAGAATTCTAGGAAAACTCGCTTTTATTTATTTATCTGTTTATCTCTTTGGCTGTGTTGGGTCTTTGTTGCGGTGCGCAGCCTTCTCATTGCAGTGGCTTTTCTTGTTGTGGAGCAAGGGCTCCAGGCACGTGGGCTCAGTAGTTGTGGCTCACGGGCTCAGTAGTTGTGGCTCACGGGCTCTAAAGCACAGGCTCAGTAGTTGTGGCGCACGGGCTCAGTTGCTGCGCGGCATGTGGGATCTTCCTGGACCAGGGCTCGAACCCATGTCCCCTGCATTGGCAGTTGGATTCTTAACCACTGCGCCACCAGGGAAGTCCGGAAAACTAGCTTTTATACTAGTGTGTGGTTGCTGTGGTAGTTAACATGCTGTCTTGATCCTGATCGTTTCTATAGCTTCCATTTTGCTGTTGGTGGTGGTGATGGGGGTACAATGGCAGAGAAGTAGTTTGAAAAGAGCCAGGAAAAAAAGGCCAGTTTTAGGTTTTCTAGGACAAAAAGAAAAGAGTAGATACCAGGCTGGGGGAAGTTTGTTCTTATTTTTGTTCTGTTTTGTTTTTTTAAGAAGGCACAGATGACCACAGGTACTTCCTGTTGGAAAACAGAAGCCTGAAAGAAGCCGACCAGCAGACCTTGTTAGGTCAAAGACAGGGTGCCAAAGAAGGGGAGCTAATTAAAACATCTTTATGCTAGAGCACGTGGAGCAATGAGAGAATGTAGGAGGAGCAAATTGGAAGTCAGGGTTTTAAATAAGTGGTCGTGTTATAACAGTAACAACAGCAATCTAGGTAGTGGAGTAAATGTACTGATAGCGTGCAAATGAAGAGCAACGCATTATTTTCTCCTACCAGTACCCCTAAAGGGCTTGATTTGGCCTACCATATAAAACTGTGTTACAGAGGACAGGAGAAACAAAATGAGAAGTTGCAGTTATTTAGAACTGGAAAAACGATTTACCCAAGACAAAAACCAATATTATGTTGTCAGTGTACACAGCAATTTTTTTCAAATTTCAAAATTGCAAATTGGGGAATCCCGCTGCTATTGCAGATGGGACCATTAACACTTATATTGTCACACAATTGCAACTTGGGGGATGAGGTCTCTGGCATACCGGAATCAATGAGGTAATTACAACAGAAAAATAACAACACAGCAACACTTGACTATTTAGTGATCTTTGTTTCAAGAACAGTTTCATCAGTGTTTCATTTCTGCAAGGCATTAATGCATAGTGGGTAGGAGCATGACTCTGGAGCCAGACTGCCTGGCTTAGAATCCCAGTGTGACTCTGGAGGAGCTTAACTTCTCTGTCTCTGTATTCTCATCTGTAAAATGGGAACGATGACAATCCTAACACACAGGATTGTGAGGATGAATGCAAAGTGCTTAACAAAGACTGAGTGTGTAGTCAGTGCCGAATAAATATTAGCTTTTATTCACAACACATCATTGAACACTGATTCAAAATGGTGACCAAATTCTTCCATGTATTTTCTTATTTTGAGGTTCTATGGTAATTAACTTTACAAAGAAAGTCTTTAATTATAAGAATAACATTCATGCTGATTTGAAATAGTACAGAAGGATTTAATATGGAGTCTTTCTACCCCATCCTTTGTTTTCACATCCTAGACTTAATTTTTTGCATCCCTCCAGAAATTATAATGCATATACATATATATTTTCTTCATAGATCAAGTTATTTTATGCAGTTTTCTATATCTTGCATATTTAATTTTTATTTTTTAATGTGATAAAATAACAATCTACCATTTTAACTACTTTTAAGTTTACAGTTCACTGGCCTTGTCCATTCACATTGCTGTGCTACTGTCACCAGTATCCATTTCTGGAACCTTTTTTCTCTCACAAAACTGTCGTTCTATACCCATTAAACAATAACTCCCCATTACCCCCTCCCTCCAGCCCCTGGCAACCATCGTTCTACTTTGTCGCTATTAATTCGATGCTTCTGGGTACCTTGTATAAATGGAATCACAGTGTTTGTCCTTTTGTGTCTGGTTTATTTCACTCAGCATAATGTCCTTGAGGTTCTTCCATGTTGTAGCATGTGTCAGAATTTCTTTCCTTTTTAACATTGACTACTACTTCATTGCACACACCACACCATACCACACCACACCACACCACACACACACACACACACACTGCATTTTGTTTATATCCATTCATCCTTGGTGGACACTTAGGTTGCTTCCATCTTTTGGCTATTGTGAATTTATGCTGCTATGAACATGAATGTACAAATACTTCTTAGGGATCTTTTCATATCATTTTTAATTTTTTCCAGATATTATAATATCAGGTTCATTGGATATATTTTACTAAAATGGCATCCTTAGTCTTGGCTAACATTGGAGAATTTGTTTTACCTAATATATTGGAGAATCAGTTAGATTTTTATAATACTTTTAAGAGAAAGGATCTTGTCTTTGATTGTTTTGTTTCAATATATGGTTTTTAGATGTGGCCAGTTAGATAGTGCTCTGAATGAAGCTACTAGTCGTGTGAGAACACTTGAAAATAAGAATAACTTGCTGGAAAGAGAAGTGGTAAGTAAGTACTCTATTTTTTGTTCTTCTAGTGGCTTAATGTTAAAAATTTAAGCTTTTTTATTAATTGAACTTTAGAGACAAATGAACAGTTTTATAAAAACATTGGTTGTATGTTGCTTGTCTTCTCCTTTAGGATGTCTTATTGTTACATTTATATTTTGAATGCTGCTGGCTTCATATGATACTATAAACTTTTACCCTCTAAAAATTTTATTTTTTATTTGGGATATAATTTGCATATCATAAAACTCATCCTTCTAGAGTGTATAATTCAGTGGTCTTTAGTATATTCACAAATTTGTGCGACTATCACCACAATTAATTTTAGAACTTTTTTCTCACTCAGAAAGAAACCCCAAACCTCTTAGCCATCTCCCCCATTACATGCTCTTCTCGGCCATGAGCAACCACTACTCTGCTTTCTGTTTCTCTGGGTTTACCTATTCTGGGTATTTGATGTCAACGGAATCAAACCGTATGTGACCTCATGTGTCTGGCTGCTTTCACTGAGCATTAGGTTTTCAAGGTTCATCCATAGTGTAGCATGGACCAGGACTTCACTCTTTTTTATGGCTGAATAATATTCCGTAGTATGGATGCACCACATTTTGTTTATCCATCCATCAGGTGATGGATGTTTGGGTTATTTTCACTTTTTGGCTATTATGAATGATAGTGCTACGAACATTTATATTTTCAAGATTCTATGTGGATGCATTTTCAGTTTTCTTGGGTGTATAACTAGGAATGCTTAACCTTTCCTCTTAAATAACTTTTCTTTCCCATGCATTACCAAGTTTTATTCTTCTGTGCATAATTTTACAAACAGTGTTTTGCTGCAAAATGCCAGTTATATTCTAGACATTGTTTCTTTGTCTTTGATGGGTTTTTTGTTTGTTTGTTGTTTTTTGATGCTGAAACCGGGATAGTTTTGATTTTTTTTAAGTTATCTTTGTCTCCTCTTAAACTATAAACTTCATGAGGCCAGGGACCTTTCTTGTTGATCTTTTTTTTTTTTAATTTAATTAATTAATTTATCTATTTTTGGCTGTGCTGGGTCTTTCGCTGCCCACGGGCTTTCTCTAGTTGCGGCGAGCAGGGGCTACTCTTCATTGTGGTGTGTGGGCTTCTCATTGAGGTGGAGCACGGGTTCTAGGCGCATGGGCTTCAGTAGTTGTGGCACACGGGGTCAGTAGTTGTGGCTCTAGAGTGCAGGCTCAGTAGTTGTGGCACACGGGCTTAGTTGCTCCATGGCATGTGGGATCTTCCTGGACCAGGGCTTGAACCTGTGTCCCCTGCAGTGGCAGGTGATTCTTAACCACTGCTCCACCAGGGAAGTCCTCTTGTTAATCTTATATTTCTAGCACCCTAGTGCCTGCCATCTAGTGGATTTGCAATTAATGATTGTTGAATGAATATTAACATATCAGATGTTCTGAATTTTCTCTTTTATTTTCATTGTAAGTGAGAGAATAGGGTAAGAAATGCTTTTTTTCCCTCTAAATATTAATGTGGGGCTACAAATTCCAGCTATGCTTTTGGAATCATTTCTCTAATAGCCATGGTTATTTTTTCCTCGTTAAAGTCATCTACAGGTGAGTCCTGGAATCAGAATGCCTCAGACAGTGGTTTTCTGCGTATTATTCTATAGGGTAATCCTTTCTAGTCTCCATCCCAGGATATAACAGAATATCAAATTTGTTCATTTCCATTTATGTGTTTTGTTTTATTACTTCTCTTTTATATTTAATGTCCACAGATTATTAGCTGCTATTGAGACATCTATTTTTTTTATTATTATTAAAAACAGTGTATTATCCTTGTCTTTGTTTTGTAGAGTGATCTTAGAGAACGCTTCAGTGCAGCCAGCAGTGCCTCCAAAATTCTGCAGGAACGAATTGAGGAAATGAGAACAAGTAATAAAGAAAAAGACAATACCATCATTCGACTGAAATCTAGGCTTCAGGATTTAGAAGAGGCATTTGAGAATGCTTACAAACTCTCAGATGATAAAGAAGCAAGACTAAAACAAGAAAATAAAATGTTTCAAGATGTAAGTGACAAGTAACTCAGTGACGTGGTTGGCTAAAAGTAATTTCAGATATTGTAGTCTTACAAGCTATTATGATTTTTTCCACATTTATTTTCATTTTACGTAACTTTGCTGTAGCTGCAAATATACGTAGACTTTTCTGATAGAGTTAGTTGGGTCTTATCTTAAAGCAGGAAGTCAGGGCTTTCAGAGCTATGGTGTCACTCCCACGCCTTTCTGTCTCTGGCAGGGCAGCCTTTGAGCTATCTTAAATCAGCATCTGTGTGTCCGGCAGATACAACGGACCAGATTTACAACAGGCTTGATAAAATTTTTCACTTTGATTTAATTTCACTTAAAAGTTAGATTTGTATAACATTGAAACTGGATTAGGTTTTAGGTTTTGTTTTTTTTTAAAGTAAAATCTGAAAGTATTTCGGCTGTTGATATTTTCTTCCTGATAGCTTTAGATTTGATTCTTGCTGCTTTGTTTTTTAAAATTTATTTTCCTGAAGGTAATACATGTCAATGGTTTAAATGGTCAAATATCGAATGAGAAACAGCAGTCTTCTTCACCTCTCTCTATCTTGGAGTCCTCTACCCTAGAAGCCATTATTTTCAGCTCTTTTAGCCATTCCTTCTAAAGTTTTGCTCCATGTTTCTAAGTGACAAACTTACATTGCTCTTTTTTTTTCCCCATCAGTTTCAGACATTATATATTGACTACCCTCTGTGCAAGGTCACAGTGTAGCTTTCTTATACCATTTGCTCCCCAAACAAACACTCCCCCCCTCTTTCCAATGTGTGATTGATGTATTAAATTGATTCTGAGAAGCTTATTCTTTTTTTTTTTTGCGGTATGCGGGCCTCTCACTGCTGTGGCCTCTCCCGTTGTGGAGCACAGGCTCCAGATGCGCAGGCTCAGCGGCCATGGCTCACAGGCCCAGCCGCTCCGCCGCATGTGGGATCTTCCCGGACCGAGGCACGAACCCGTGTCCCCTGCATCGGCAGGCAGACTCTAAACCACTGCGCCACCAGGGAAGCCCGAAGCTTATTCTTTTACATTTGAACAACTCAGAAATTGGAATGCATCTTTATAGTGTCATATTTTAATTGGCAGCACTTTTTCCTCTTAGTATTTAGTAAATAATATTAAATAGCATTTCTAGTTAGTGGTGTCTTAGACTTTAAATATGATATACTATCATTTATAAATGAATCAGAATTCAGTGTTTCTTATGTCTATGCAAATATTTTTCAAAGCTAAGCTGCAGTGTTCAGTGACTGCATTTCCTTTCTCTTACAACTTTTATTTTTCCTAGACTTAATAATTGGCTTGTCTCTTTATCTGCTTGCTTAGTTTTTAAACATGCATAGCACTTCCTTTCCTCCCGCCTCCCCAGTATCCTTGCTTCAGTCTGAACTGATTGCCCTCGAGGTCTGACCCACAGATTTCTAGGACTTGCCTTTGTCATCATCCTGGGAATTGTCTTCGCTTCTTTCCCGTATTGAATCTGTCCTTTTGTGTGGATTCTGTATCTTCTTTCTTGGTTTAACTCTGTTTTGCTAGAGTACATCTCCTGAGAAAAAGAAGACATAAGAGACAAATTTTGAGGCCTTCCATATCTGAAAACTTTTATAGTTGCAGTCACACTTTACTTTTTAAAAACTACTTTATGTTTTAGAACAGTTAGAATTACAGAAAAATTGAGGAGATAGTGGAGTGTTCCCATATGCCCCCCACCATTTCCCCTGTTATTAGCATCTTGCATTAGTACCATACTTTGGCCACAATTAATGAGCCAATTTTTTTTTTTTAATGTTTGTTTATTTTGGCTGCTCCGGGTCTTAGTTGCCACATGCAGCCTTCTAAGTTGAGGCGTGCGGACTCTTAGCTGCAGCAGCATGTGGGATCTAGTTCCCCGACCAGGGATCTAACCCAGGCCCCCTGCATTGGGAGCGGGGAGTCTTACCCACTGCACCACCAGGGAAGTCCCAATGAGCCAATATTGATACATTATTATTAAGTAAACACCACAGTTTATTCAGATTTCCTTGCTTTTTTCCTAATGTTCTTTTTCTGCTCCAGGACTCCCTCTAGGAGACCAGATTACATGTAGTCTTCATGTCTTCCTAGGCTCCTCTTGGCTGTGACAGTTTCTCAGACTTTTCCTGTTTTTCATGATCTTGACAGTTTTGAGGGGAACTGGGCAGGTATTTTGCAGTATGTCCCTTGGGATTTGTCTAATATTTTTCTCATGATTAGACTAGGGTTATTAGGAGGAAAATCACAGAGGTAAAGTACCATTTTGGGCATATCATACCAGCAAGCCCTATGTTTTTTATTCCTTTATAGTCATTTTAGTAAAGTTTCAGGAGGGAGTGCATATGAACACTCCATTCAGTGTGCCATATTTGATTAGAACTTTACATGGTTCAGTTATTACCGTTCTCATTCGTACACATTAATAGTATAATTGTAGTGTGTGTGTGTGTACATGGGCTCCTGGTTTTTATAACTTATACTTCTTAACATCAGACCTACAGAAAGTTGCAAAAGTTGTGTGAATAATTCTCATATTTCACCTTCACCTAGATTCTGAAAGTTAACATTTTATAATATGCGCTTTATCATTCGGTCCACGTATAGTTTAAAGATTTTTTCAAAAAAAAAAAAAAAATTATTTTTCCAAACTTTTTTAGAGTAAGTTAGAGATATAATGCATCTTTACCTCTAAATACTTCAAGGTCTATTTCTTAAAAACAAGGGCAGTCTTTTATATAACCATAGCAAAATTAGGAAATTAACATTAATATAGTAATTTATACATGCCATTCAATTTTTTGCAAATTATACCACAAGTATTCCTTATAACAAAAGAAACTTTTTTTCCCTTGTTCGGGATCCGATCCAGGACTACATGTTGCATTGAGTTGTCACATCTCTTTCATCTCCTTTAACCTAGAGCAGATCCTCAGTTTTTCTGTCTTTTATAACCTTAAAACTCTTTGAAGATCATAGACTAATTATTTTATAGAACTACTCCTTCTAACATGGTAGCCTCTAGCCACATGTGAGTATTTAACTTTACGCTGATTACAATTAAGTAAAATAAACAGTTCAGTTCCCCAGTTGCACTGGCCACATTTCAAGTGCTCAGCGGTCACATGTAGGTAGTGGCTGCGGTGTTGGGCAGCGCGGGGGGACTGCATCCGTCATCGCAGAGAGTCCGCTGGCTAGCACATTGTGGAATGGCCCTTAGTTTGGGGGTGTGTTTCTTCACAGTTAGATTGGGTTGTTGTGATGCACAGGAGCCCCTCTTAGCACTTCCTGTTAGGAGGCACGTGTGAACTGTGTGGGTGTCAACTCCAGCCACTTGGTGAAGGTGGGGTTTGCCAGGGGTCTCCACTGTAAAGTTATACCCTGCCCCTCCCCCACTGCAGTTACATGTAACTTATGAGAGGGTAATTTAAGGCTCTGCAAATCACCTTTTTCTCATCAAACTTGTTACCCACTAGCTGTAGCATGTCCTGATGTGTCTTGCCTGAAACCACTAATTACTGTGGCGGCTGCCAAATGGTGTTTTTTCTATTTCTGTGATTCCCTCTCATTTTACTGCAGGGAGTAGTCCTCCTTTCTTCTTTATTTCTGCTTATCAGCGTGGACTCATGGATTCTGATTTTATTCAGTGAGGTAGTCTTTTTTACTCTGTTTATTATTTTGATGCTTTGTCTTAGCTTTGGCCTGAGGGGTTCGTGTGAAGCTGGCTTCTGTGACCTTTTGACAGTTTCCCGTCATTCTAGACTTCCTGCCACAGCCAGATGTTCCAGGCCCATCTTGTACTTTTCTAGCCCCAGCCCTAAGTCAGTCATTTTTCCCCGGAGCCCTGGTTCCTTTAAGTGGAAGATGGTATTTAGAAACTTAAGATCTAGGTATGTTCATTGCTTCTGGGATGTCGTTGTTTTTAATTAAAAACCCATCATCGTTTGAGTAGCAGTGAAGCACAAAGCATAGGTAGAATGTTGTTTTCAGCTGAAATTGCATGAATATTTCCAGGGATAACACTGACTTTTTCCACGTTTATCATGTCACATATTTTAAGCACACAGAAAGGTATAGAGTAATCCCCATATACTGGCCATCCGTAGATACTGTTGAAAGACACTCTTCTATTCCTCTCTCTCCCACCCTAGAGGTGCCTGCTATGTTAAATGTGCTCTTGGTTATCCCCACTCTGTTCTTTTTACTTCTACTATAAATGCACGTTGTTTTAAACAATATATAGTAATGTTTCGTATGTTCGCAAACCATATATGAATTGTATTGCACTGTATCCTTCTACCACCTGTTTTTCTCTTAACATTGTTTCTAAGATTTGCCGTGTTGATACATGTAGTTTTTATTCTTTTTTATTTAAACATTTGTATGTGAAATATTTCTGGTATATACAAAGGTATAAAGAATAATATAACAAATACATGTAGGCCGACCCACCACCCACCTTAAGAATTAAAATACTGTAGATGCCGTTGAGGCCCTCCACGTACCTTTTCTGATCACCTCTGCCTTCTTAGAAGTAATTGGTCTGAATGGTGTGAATGTCATTCCCGTGTCTGTCTTTGTATCATCATGTTTGTATGTTTGCTTAGTCAGTGTTGTTTGTTTGCCATATCTTAAAACTATAAATGCTATCATACTGTATTTACTGTTCTGAAACTTTTTTTCCTTTGTAAGACTTATCCAAGCTGATACATACAGCACTAATTCACTTGTTTTCATCCCTGTGTCATATTCCATTGTGTGAATATTCCACAATTTATTTATCCATTTTCCTGCTTCCAGTTTCTTTTTGTTGCTGTTATGAGCAGCACTGCCATGACCATTCCTATATACACATCCTGTGCCAACGTGTGCAAGTACCTCTAGGGTATTGTTGCAGTTACCAGAGCTGCAAAACAAATGACCCCCAAACTGGACATACTCTGCTCATGGGCTCGGTGGTCTAGGAACTTGGACTGGGCTTAACAAGGACAGCTTATCTCGGCCCAGCAGTATCTGGGACCTTAGCTGGAGACTCAGAAGTTGGGGCCTTTGATGATGGCTGTCAACTAAGCCTGCAGTTCTTTCCATGTTTCCTTCCATGTGGCCTCATTTGGGCTTCTTTGCAGCATAATGGCTGAGTACTAAGGACAGGCGTCCTGAAAGACCTTCCTGACAGCCACAGTGCCTTTTATGACTAGCCTTCTGCAAGCTTTCTAGCATCTTCTTTTTATCCCTGGTATTCTGATAGTCCATAACAGTGTTTGGGGCATAGGTTCTTCCAATCTGGAAATTAATGTCTTTTAGTTGTACAAATGCTGATGTTATTTCTCTATTAATTTCCTGCCTCTCTCTCTTCTCTTTCTCTGGAACTTTTATGAGTAGATGTTGTATTGCATGGGTTGATTCTCTAAGACTTATTTATGTTTTAGTGTTCATCATGGCCTCTTTGTCCTTTATCTTCCAGTCTTAGTATTAATTATGTCTTTTCTCACTGTTACTTTCTAAGAGCTCTTTATTCTCTGATTGCTCGTTTTTCAAAGCTTTCTGTTCTTGTTTTGTGACTATAACATTGTTATTTCTCTGAGGATATTAATAATAGCTTTCTTTTTTTTTTAAGATTTATTTATTATTTATGTTTGGCTGCGTTGGGTCTTAGTTGCGGCACACAGGATCTCCGTTGAGGCGCGTGGGATCATTTGTTGTGGCGTGCGGGTTTTCTCTTCTCTAGTTGTGGCGCGTTGGGTTCCAGAGCACGTGGGCTCTGTAGTTTGAGGCATGTGGGCTCTAGTTGAGGCACGTGAGCTCAGTAATTGTGGCACGTGGGCTTAGTTGCCCCGTGGCATGTGGGACCTTAGTTCCCTGACCAGGGATCGAACCCACATCCCCTGCATTGTAAGGCGGATTCTTTACCACTGGACCACCAAGGAGGTCCCAATAATAGCTTTCTTTTGATACTTTCCTTTAGTTTTGGTTCATTATTTCTTCTAAGTTAACCTTTCATTTTGATTTGAAGTCTGTTTCATATGAAATTTTTTTTTTCAAATGTTGGTTCTTTGGTAGGTTCATGTTTAAGAGGGAGGCAGTAAAAAGCTATTTGGAGACTCTGTGTGCACAGATGGGACTTACTTCCTCGTACCTTCACTTACAAGCAGTTGTAAGTGATGCACCAGGCATTTGGTTAGGGAACCTCCAGGTGTAAATGTGTCTTTTTTTCTGGGGTTGTTCAGTTTTCCCAAAGAAAAGTCTTCCGGTTTCTTGTCTGGAACCTATCAGCCAGGCTCTGGTGGCAGTGAGGGAGGGGAGAGTCAGGTGGGTTTTTTTTTTTTGAAGACTTTTCCTTAGTCATTTTCTCTTTATCTCTTTGCCTCCCCCTCACACCCTGCTATCATGCTTGTGTTTCCAAAGTTGCATTTTTCCCTCACAGTCATGTCTTCTGTGCCCTATTGCCTGGCTGAACAGCCCACTGCTGTATGGGTTGGGAAAAGACCCTGGGCTCTAACCCAGGACTTTGAACCAGTTTCCTGTGGTCAGCCCTGTGCTTCAACCCTGCCCACCACTGAACCTGGGGTTCCAGTTGTGAGCCTCTCAGGGTTATGAAGAGATCAACCTACTTGCCATTAGCATCCTTTATTCAGACTCTGGAAGTTGTAGCCTTGTTGCATCTTCATTGAAATCTCTCGCTCGTTGCTGTTACCTCCTTTGTTTTCGCTTTAATTGCTTCATTGTTAATTTAGTGGGATCTCTGGATAAAAAGAAAATCCTGTGATGAATCTCTCTTCTTTCACCAGAAGTCTCACTTACGTATTTTTAAATAAATTACCTAATTATATTAGACTTTGGGGATTGTACCTTTACTCTGTGGAACTAACTTAACAAAAGGTAGTGTGCAACAGTTCCAAAGAGAACAATGCAAATACATTTTAATCTTTTCAAATACTGCTTACTTAAAGGGCATTGACTGAAATAAATTATTTGTTTTACTTTCTATTTTGAAATACATTCAAATTTACAGAGAACTTGCAAGAACTGTCATACTCCTATATCCTAGGATCACCAGTTAACATTTTGCCATATTTGCTTTATCATGTCACATATATATATATTTTTTCACACACATACACATATATATATATATTTTTTTTTTCTTGAACCATTTGAGAGTAAGTTGTTGACGTTGAGCCCCTGTACTTAGATACTTTGGTATGTGTTTCCTAAGAAATACATCCATAGTCACAGAAAAATTATCCAAATAAAGAAATCTAATACTGATGCAGTCCATATCCAGATTGTTCCTTTATGTCACCTTTTTCCCCAGTCCAGGATCTATTCACTTATCTCTTTAGTTGCCTTTAATCTGAAACAATGTGTTAACCTTTTTCTTTCATGACACTGGCAGCTTTGAAGAGTAAGGGCAGTTATTTTACAGACTGTCCCTCTGTTGATATTATAATATTTAATTTTGTGGTGCAATTCTTTGTTTTTCCTTGTAGCTTTTAGGAGAGTATGAGTCCCTTGGAAAAGAACACGAAAGAGTAAAGGTAACAGTTGATCATTCATGTTCTGAACTTCCTGTCGGGGCAAAAGCATTAGTTTGGAAGTCGAGAGATCTAACCCTTTCTCCCTTTCTCTTCCCCTCCTCTGTCCCCATCTGGCTATTTGAACTAGACCGCTCACTTATCCTCTCGTGTCAGTTTCCTTATTTTCAAATATCTGCCCATTTAACTCACAAATTTGTTAATTTAACAAATATTTATTGAATGGCTATTGCATTTGAGATGAGATGAAATTTTTAGAAGAGGATAAAATACCATACAAATGCAAATAATTATTTAATACTATTTAAATATAAGGTTTTGTTTTTCAAAACATTAGCTTTTTGTGGGGTTGAGTTAATTATGTTTAAATTCTTAATTAAAACTCTGTTTGGGATCTACGTATTTGAATTCATTGAAACCCCACAATAAGTAAGTGGGGTCCAAGTAGTTCTGTTGCATAAAATGCAGGGTTGTGATTATTCAAGGTTAGTGAAAAGGCCTGCATAGCTAGGTAGGCAAGATGTCTGGTGTTTCAGGGGCCAATTGTTATATCTGAAATCTCATCATTGCAGGTATTCGCTTTGCCATTTACTGAGGTTTTAGTCAAGTTTGTGTTTAAAATATGTCCATTTTAACACTGTTTCTAATCAAGCAAAGCATAATAGGCTTTGCTTATTAAACAGGGGGCTTACACACAGCTATTTGTATAAACCAGTATTTTGCTCTTCATTTTTTCCCTTGAATCATGTATATTGGCTCTGTGGCTGATGCCATACTTGCTGAGTATCTGCATAATTTTCTTTGTAGCTCTCTGGTGTAGTCTTAGATTAGTTTTATATTATGCATTTTAAAATAAAAGGAATACATCTGAATATTTATCTTCAGTTGTCTGAATTTTTCCTTTATTTTCATAGGATACATTAAATAAAACTGAGAACAAATTGCTTGATGCACACACTCAGATTTCTGATTTGAAAAGGTAAAATATATTGTCTTAACTAATAAACAAATACCTCTAACTGTTCTTTCAGGCCTTAAATATGTGTCTATATTAAAAGTGATGAGAAAAGCTTTTCTTGGGGATTTTTAAGCACTTTGAGATTAGATTTTAATCCTCATCTTCCCTTCACCTGGAAATACATTTGATTTTAGCCAAAGAGTTTTAAATGATTAGAATATATTGGTGGCTGTGCCTGAAAGGTGTGCAGGTCCCCAAACATTATGTATTTACTTAGCATAGGTAAAACCTAAGTGATATTAAATCGTTGAAAAGAATTTTAAGAAGTAGTCTAATTCACTGAATTATCTTTGTGCTCCAAAAAGAAAATAGCATTCATACCAATTTTGTGGTTATTTACTTTCTTAAAGACCTGGTTTGAGGACTGTATTCATGATCTGATTTGCTTACTTAGGGAAGGAACAGTCGTTAAGTGGTCCCTATGGCAAATGATTAGATATTTCTAATTGGCTTTAGTGTATATTTTTGTAGTTTTATTTGGAGATAAGTGATGTCCCTGACTTAGAGATTTTATTGCACTCTTAAGGACTTCTCATAGGGAAGAACAGGAACAGTCTAGCTTTCTTGTCTGCTCAAGTCTTTTCTGTGAAGCATTCAATTCTAGGGATCGTTTGTTATCCGTTTGGTATAAACATTAGCCCTGTTAGAGCTTTCTCCCTCAAACCTTCCTTGCAACAGAGTAGGTAAGAATTTAAGTTTAAAAGATGAGATGGAGACATATTCAAAGTTTCAAAAGACAGAAAGAATGCCAAGATATGCGCAAAACAGTTAACTGGCCACAGTGCTTATTTTCTCTTGGTAAGCTTGAAGATAAGCTTTTATTCTGAACACAGCACAAATCAGATGAGCTGCCTATAGGTTGAGAGTTGTTCAGAACAGGAAGTTCTTTTTAATAGCTCTGCTTCGGATGGTAAGCCTGCTTCCTCTTTTGTGAGAGCCTTACCCGTGTATATGTCATACGAATACATACGTATTAGAATTAAACATGTTAGAATTGCAATTTATTTGATTGCTGAATTTATTTTATTTTTATTTAATTTATACTGTGTTTTTATCTGTAGTAAAATTTCTAAATTTTTTTTTTTTACTTTCTGTATTAAATGTATGTGTTGTTCCCTTTTTCTTCAGTTGTAGCATATGAAATGCTCCTTTGTAGAGTTTCTTCTATTTGCCTTCCTATTTATTCTCCCTGATTTTTTTCAACGTTTTAAAGTGTAATGTGGCTTTTTACTATGAAGAAGGTTTATGCATGTGCAGCTCTTTTGTCACCCCTTTCCTAGAAGTATCTGTTAAATAAGTAATTTGTAGTTGAGCTGTATTTTAAGTTTGTTGAAATGTACTTAATTTATCTTATTGCTTTTGAATTAGAACAATTTCAAAACTTGAAGCTCAGGTCAAGCAAGTAGAGCATGAGAATATGTTAAGTCTTCGTCATAATTCTAAAACTCCTATGAGACCCTCACGTGCCAAGTAAGTTACTTCGTTTAATCTCTCTGTAAAGCTAGTAATAGGCGTACCCTGTAATTGAATTGAGACACTCATCTGTCTAAATCGTGAGGAAGACACAGTTAAATGTCATCACAGAACCTGATGCGTGAAAACATCTAACGGTTAGATATTGTGAAAGCTCATATGCAGAGGCATTTGCCGAAAGGTAATGTAGAGTCAGATTGGGAGTGACGAGAACTGGGATGTTTTATTTGTTTTTGACTCTGCCCAGCTGTGTGACCTTAGGCAGATCACTTCATTTTTTGGAGCTCAGTTTTATCATCTGTAAAAACAAGGACATTGGGTTAGAACATCTCAAAAGGTCTTTTAGCCCTAAACTTCCAGAAATTTTATTCCCATGTTAATGGAAAGAATTATGAAGATGGATCTGCATTAGGTTGTGTGGATTTTTCTTTTTAGTTTTTCCAAATTAGCTTTGTTATAATCTAAGAGCATTATCTTGATGATTCATTTACACAGTAAGTTTTTTTATATTAGAATTGTTTTTATTGTGATTTTGATGTAAATAAAGAGTATTAAATGAGTAGGTCATAACTTCCTAATATTGATGTTTTATCAGAAAAAGATTAACTTGCAGATGTTAACCTAAGTTGTAATTGTCAAATGAGAAACTTTTTCTAGATCTTTACTAATTAATATTAGTAGGACATAATGAATTATTGAAAGGTAAGATAATGTAAATAACTGAAATTGGACATTTGAGATTGAACAAAAAGGAGGGCTAAAGTTGGAGTCAGGGAGGGGCCTTTCTGTGGAGGGACGCGTTAGTGGAGAGGGAAGACATGCAGAGTCGTTCAGGTGGGAGGTGTGGAGGGAGGGGTGTTCCAGGCAGAGACAGTGCTCTTGCTGAGTCCTGAGGTAGGAAAGCGCTTAGTCTTATGTTTAAAGAACCCAGAGGAGGCTCATGTGGCCTGACTGTTCCCAGCAAGGGACAAAGGAGCCCCAGATAAAATCACAGACCCATCATACATAGCTTTCTAAGCCAGGGTCAAGGGTTTGGATTTTACTGTAAGTCCATTGGGACACCTTTGACAGGTTTTTGTTTTGTTTTGTTTTGTTTTTTTGCGGCACGCGGGCCTCTCACTGATGTGGCCTCTCCCGATGCGGAGCACAGGCTCCGGACGCGCTGGCTCAGCGGCCATGGCTCACGGGCCCAGCCGCTCCGCGGCATGTGGAATCTTCCCAGACCGGAGCATGAACCCGTGTCCCCTGCGTCGGCAGGCGGACTCTCAAACACTGCGCCACCAGGGAAGCCCGGGTTTTATATAGTAAAATTGTGTCACCTGATTTCTATTTTTTTAATGCACCTGCCACGAGGAGGGGAAAAGAGTAGAAGCAGAGAGACTAATTAGGCTATTGCAGGGCTAGGAGAGAGATGGTGCTAGCTGGGTGGTGGCCATAGAAATGGACAGACGAGAAGGATTTGAGAAGATTCTGGATGAATTGGATGGCAAGGTAAGAAAGGGAGGCGTCAGGTCAGTCCTTTGTTTCTGTCTTGAACAGCTAAGGGTGTAGCATTGAACCAGGGAGGAGATGGGAAGAGCAGACCATGGGGTAAAGACCAGAATTTACGTCTTGAAGATTTTAGTTTGAGATTCATGTAAATTCCGAGTGGAAGTCAAGCAGGTGATGATAACTTTCCGTTTGGAGTGCAGAAGTAAGGCTGGAGTTATAAATATTGGAGTCGTCTTTCTAGATAGGGCTTACAGCTATTGGATGGATGCGCCTGTTTAGTGAGAAGCAAGCCCAGGACAAAGCTCTGAAGAACCCCAGTGTTTTGGTGTCGGGTAGAGAAGGAGCTGGCAAAGGAACCTGAGAAAGAGCTGCTGGAAACCAGGAGAAAGACTGAAGCAGCTGTTAAGAGAGCCAGTGAGATGAGGAATGAGGGTCTGTTGGATTTGTAAGCTGGAGGTTCCTGATGACCTGGAGAGCAGTTGGCACGGAGTGATCGAAGCGGAAGGCAGTGGTGAATGTATTGAAGAGTGAATGAACACAACCTAGATGTCTAACAGCCTGAATGTCAGTATATTGTGATACATTTATGCATAACACTGCTCAGCATGACAGTGCACAGACTAGATTGGTGGTTGGCAAACTACAGCTCCCCAGCCAAATCTAGCCTACTGCCTGTGTTTTTTTTTTTTTTTGCTCTGGGCTGCACGGCTTGCAGGATCTTAGTTCCCTGACCAGGGGTTGAACCCGGGCCCACGGCAGTGAAATCGCGGAGTCCTAACCACTGGACTGCCAGGGAATTCCCATACCACCTGTTTTTGTAAGGCCTGTGAGCAAAGAATGGTTTTTGTTTTTAAATGTTTGGAAAAAAAAAATCAAAGAATAATATTTCATGACACCTGAAAACTATATGAAATTCAGCTTTCAGTGTCCAGAAATAAAGTTTTATTGGAACATACCTAAGCTTATTCATTTATGTATAGTCTATAGGTGCTTTGTGCTGCAGTGACGAAGTTGAGTAGTTGTGACAGAGACTATCTGGCCCATAATACCTAAAGTATTTATCGTCTGGCTCTTTACTCACAGTTGCCAACCCCATAACTAGCCTGTCAACATGGTTTAATCTTAAGAACATAATATGGAACACAACAAAAAACTAGTTGCAGAAGAAATTGGGTACTAGTTATATCGACTTTAGCATGTAAATCAGCTCTGCAGATCTTACGGGTCATACAGATGGAGTAAAGGTGTAAAAGCACTCATGGGATTGCCGAACACAAATTTAGCATGAACGGTTGCTTTGGGGAAGAATGAGGTTGGAAAGGTACACAGGGGACTTCAGTTGTATCTGTATTGTTCCGCTCCATAGAATTCTAGAGGATATACAGCAGCGAATCAAGATTTTATAAAGCGGGTTGGTTGGTGCCTGAGTATCATCTGGACGTCTTCATGCTTGAACTATTTTACATTTTTAAAAAAATTTTATTTATTTATTTTTAGCTGCGTTGGGTCTTTGTTGCTTCACGCAGGCTTTCTCTAGTTGTGGTGAGCAGGGGCTACGCTTCGTTGTGGTGTGCGAGCTTCTCATTGCGGTGGCTTCTCGTTGCGGAGCACGAGCTCTAGGCGAGAGACCTCTAGAGTGCAGGCTCAGTAGTTGTGGCGCACGGGCTTAGTTGCTCTGTGGCATGTGGGATCTTCCTGGACCAGGGCTTGAACCCGTGTTCCCTGCATTGGCAGGCGGATTCTTAACCACTGCGCCATCAGGGAAGTCCTACATTTTTTAAGTGAACAGGAACCAATAAAGGATTAGTATCCAGAATATAAAGGACTTCTACAAATCAAAAAAAAAAGAGAAACTCCTCGATAAAAAAGTGATAAAAAATATGAACAAGCTGTTCACAGAAAAAGAAACCTAAATGGCTAATGAAAATGAAAAGATGCTCATTTCACTAATAATCAGAAAGTTGCAAATGAAAACAGTAATGGGATACCACTCACACCGTCAGACAGGCCAGTCATTGTAAAATTTCACAAAGATATGAAGAAACGGGAACTCTCAAACTACTGGTTTGACTGAAAATTGGTACAGCGCATCTGGAGAGTGATTTGTCAGTATCCAGTAAGACTGGAGGTGAGCACACCCCAAATTCCACAGTTCTAGTTTAAGGTGTTTATCTTGGAGAAATTCTGACATATGTTCATTAGAGCATTGTTGAAAGGTGATACATTAGAAACTAAACATCCACCAACAGGAGAAAGGATAAATGACTTGTGATGCAGTCATACTGTGGATAAACTATTAAAATGGTAGAGCTGTAGATATTAACATGGGTAAGTCTCAAACATAATGTTGAGTAGAAAAAGCAGCATTAAAAGGATGCATACATTATGCCCTTTATGTAATTTTTAAAATGCAAACAACCATATATATGCTATTTATGTCTTACAATTAAAAACACATATGGTAAAGATGTTAGCATTTATTAAAACTAAGTATGGGCAAGTGCTTGTTATAGTACTCTTTGTAATTTTCTAAGAATGTTTGAAATGATTCTTAATTTAAAAATTGAGGGGAAAAGGAGTGACTGGGAGCTGAAATGAAAATACTGATAGATAAAAGAGGCAACTCTTAAAAAGTTTGGTTGTGAAAGGAAGCAGAGAGAGGAAGACAGGAGTTCCTGTCCCGTGGTTTCTATTTTCTCTCTGGAGTGTGATGCAAGGTTATCACCTGACAGTCAAGGCTGGGGCGAGAGGTTTGAGGAGAGCGGAGAGGGTGTCAGATAGTCATGTTGGGGAATCGGAGCTCCTTAATTACGGGAAGATGTGTTGGCAGCCAGCGTTGGGCGTCCACTTGAGATAGTGATGGTGATTCTGTGGTGATACCCCGGTCTACACAGCTGGGCAGCTTCTGTCCAGCACAGCTCAACTGTAGGAGTACAGACACAGAAGGAAAGTGAGCTCATTGTAGTCAGACAGGCTTAGGTTTGCTGCCAGTCAGATGCGATGGCAAGTGAGCAGGGAAGGGGGTCCAGGCGATGAGTACTGGTTACCAGGAGCGTGGGCTGGGGTGGTGGTGGGAGTGGGGTGAAGAGGAGCCCGACAGCTAGGAGGGGCTGGTGCACAGGGAAGGGGAGGCCCAGGGTCGTGGGCCTCGCGGTGAGAGCGCCATGGGGATGCTCGAGCAGGGGAGCCAGAGCATCTTTGGAGCTGTGATTTCTGAAGGGAGCTGCCTTCTCTGGGATGATGCGTGCAGTGAGCGTCCTCTGAAGGGGCAACTGAACAAGGGAGTCGGGTCGTCGGCGGGAGTTGGGAGCAGCTCCCGTGTGCGCATGGAGGCCGCGCCGGATGAGGGCAGGAGGCAGTGTGGAGAGGATGAGGCCTCGAGTGACCGGAGTGTATGGTGGGGTGAGCCTCAGTCGGGCCGGGCTTCACAGTCACAGGGAGGAATGTCATGGTCTAGAACTACACTGTTCAGTACAGCAGTGCTGGCCACCACAGCTGTTTAAATCTAGCTGCGTTGCAAGCATTTACGAGCTCGTGTGTATGTGGCCGGTGGCCACGGTATTGTACTGTGCACATGGAGGGTGTTTTCTGTCTTCACAGAAAATTCTGTTGGCAGTGCTGGTCTGGGAGGAACAGGCAAGGTGCTCTTGCTTCACCTCAGGGCCCTGAGCTCGACGGGGCATAAAGGGTGTGAAGTGCGGTGAGGGGCTGGGCCGGGGTGTTCGGAGCCGGGTACACGTGACGGTACCTAAATCTTGACTGTTCTTCTGAAACTAAGAATAACAATTCAGTTGGAGCTGAAAACTGTAAAATAGAGTTCATCTAGCTAAAATAAGATTGTTTTATGCTGTTTTTAAATTCCTGTGTAAATGTGGAGATAATATTTCAGAGCAGGTTGTTTTCTGTATGTGCTCAGTCTAAACTGGAGCGCAGACCGTGCAATGCCTGAGAACACTTCTCGTCCTCACAGCACACTGGCGAGCTCCGACGTCAGCCGGCGGAAGTGGCTGATCCCGGGAGCAGAGCATTCCATCTTCACTGGGCAGCCTCTGGACACGCGGGACAGCAAGGCAGACAGCCAGCCGGAGGACACCTGCCTTGCTGGGTGAGACAGCTCCGTCGAAGATCGTATTTAGAGACTGTTAGGTTTTCTTAGAGATTTCAGTAGCCTTTCAAAGTTCAGGAAGTTGTAAAGAACCATCTCCTTGTTCCTTTTATGTCTTAATTTTGAGGATCTGATTTTTACTTTATTTTGAAAGGCTAGTGCTTTTCGGAAATTTTCCTCCTGTAGGCCTTGAGGAGCTATCTCCACCTGTGCTGCTTGCATAGTGCTGCGCCCTGTGCACAGGCTTACAGTTCGGACAAGAGGTTGGTCCTCACCCTCCAGATAGCTGAGCCCCCCATGAGCAACCTCGTTCATTTACTCCAGAGTGCCATATAAATATTATATTTCTGTATGCTCTAGGCTGTGAAAAGGATTGGGAAGCACTGTTCTGTTATATACAGGCTCAATTTTATTGATTTGCCTTGTGAAGCATACGTATTCATTGTGGAGTAACTGTCAACCCTCATGGTATTCCCCTAGTAATCCCGGTAAAACATCTTAGTTCAGGCTGCTACAACAAATTACCCTTGACTGGGTGGCTTAAGCAACAAGCAGTTATGTCCTACAGTTCTGGAGGTGGGCAGTCTGAGATCAGGGTGCCAGCATGGTTGGGTCCTGGTTCTGTCCTCACATGGCCTTTCTTTGGTGCATGTGTGTAGGGAGAGATCAAGATGTCTCTTCCTTATTTTATAAGGGCACTAATCCCAGCTTGGGGGCTTTACCCTCATGATCTCATCAAAACCTAATCACCTCCAAAAGGTGAGGACGAGAATTCGTCATAAGAATCGCGTTCAACATAAGAATTCTGGGGAGACACGAATATTCCGTTCATAGCACCGTGTGTCTTACAATTATTATTTAAGGTACCATTCTCCTCTGGAAAAGGATCCTTCACCTGGAAGTTCACCAACAAGTTTATTGATAAAAAAACAAAGAGACACTTCAGACACACCAATCATGAAAGCTTTGAAAGAACTTGATGAAGAAAAAGTATTTAAAAATTGGGGCACACAGACGGAGAAAGAGGATACCTCAAATAGTAAGTATTTTATTCCTTGTTTGATAGAAATATAGATATATAGATCTCTTTCTCCCCCAATTATATTGCCTTCTTAAAATGAAATGCCTCAAGTAATAAAATAAAAAGTTAAATTTATTTTTATGCTGTTTCGGCCCCATTGCAGACAGTTGAATCCCCTAGTTGTTAATTTTTTTAAATTAATTAATTAATTTGGCTATGACGGGTCTTAGTTGCAACACGTGGGATCTTCATTGAGGCATGTGGGATCTTTTGTTGCGACGTGCTGACTCTTCATTGTGGCGCGCGGGCTTCTCTCTGGTTGTGACGTGCGGGTTTTCTCTCTCTAGTTGTGGCGCTCAGGCTCCAGGCCGTGTGAGCCCAGTAGTTGTGGCACGCTGGCTTAGTTGCCCCGCAGCATGTGGGATCTTAGTTCCCCGACCAGGGATCGAACCCCCATCCCCTGCATTGGAACGTGGATTCTTTACCACTGGACCACCAGGGAAGTCCCCCCCAGGTTGTTAACTTATCATTGTCATCACATAGGTACCTTTTCAAATGACATATTATGTTCTGATTATTAAAGATTTACGTGGCATTCTTAAGGATATTTGAAAACTTTCCATATCAATTTGTCTTACTTGCACACATCAGAAAGTTACGACAGGCATTTGGTGTTCATAAAGTGAGATGTAACATTTCCTACTCTCCCTTTCTTGGTTACTGAGCATCTATCAGTAGGACAAGAAGTATGTTTAATACTGTTTATTTCACAGGTCCAGGCGCTTGTACTTGCTCTGGTGCTTATTTGGTTGGGCCTGCTAATTACGTCATTAACGTCTTTGGCACTGCCTTTCCAAAGCAGTATCCGCTAGTAAGTAAATTAGTGACCTGCTTTCTAAAAATAAACTCTTGAAAAATCACCTTGAATGCCAGTTGTAAACAGAGAACCAGAATGAATTCATTAAAAACTCCCACGTCTTTCTTCATCAAGCATTTTTTAGCATTGTAATGTGGTGCATTTTGCAAGTAACCGTTATAATCTAGATGGTGAGGAGAATTGCTTGCTTGGTGTAACCATCTGTTAATAAAAAGCAGGTAACTGAAGCTACGTTTGTTTTGTATTTTTGTTTTTATTTTTTTACATTTTTCTGTTACAGAATTAGTGACTCCTCGGCTAACTGACACTTCAGTCAATGCAAGTCGGTCCCCAGAGAAAGGTGCCCAGCAAAGACAAAAGAGATTTAATTCTGCTTCACAGAGATCGTCATCTTTACCACCTTCAAATCGTAAATCAAGTACTCCAAGTAAGAGTTAGAGGTTTATGTCTCTTGGGCTTGGAAGAGTGGCATCTGAGCCATACACGCTGTTTGATGCTTTCTGTGTCCCTTACACTCTTCCTAGCACCTAGTACAGTGCTCTGAACACAGAATCCCTAAGTACCATCTTGTTCAATAACACCATCTGATTGCACAGTTACTATGACTATAACTGAAGAAATTCTCACCGTTTATCAAAGTGAGATTTTTGAGTGTGTCCCGCAAATGTTTTGCAACTAATACCACTTCACAGTTTTTGAGACAAACTCAACTAGATATTTTGACAACTATCTAATTAAACAGTAGTTCAAACAAATTAAGCTACCCAACGGCCTCTAAAATTAAGCTAGCCTGAAAATGATGTTTTTTTCCATATATTTACCTAAGGTTACTCAGCATTAGTCACCTTTTTCTTTAGCCAATTATAAGTATGGTCTTAAAGTTAAGCATTGGGCCTCTGTATCCTTAATTTCCATTTCCATAACTGCTGAGGAGATTCGTGTATGACTGTGTTATTAGGAATGTTCACTAGTGCACTGGTGTTTCCATCTTATTTCCAGTCGACTTCTAAAATCCTGAAAAACCAGTTTTGAGTCAGAGCGCTGCAACTACAGTCTGATACACTAAAATCTTACCAGTGGTTTCCTCTAGATGTTAGGGTTATGAACTGTTTTTACTTTGTATACTCTTATTTATCTTTGAAAAAGTTTTACAATGAAAATGTATTCTTAGTTAGAAATAAGGTACTGGAAAAGAAGCTATGCTCTGCCAACCTAGCACATACATAGAAGGAACAGACTGTCTCCTCTTCGTTTTCCTTTGTAGCAAAAAGAGAGATTATGTTAACACCAGTGACTGTGGCTTATAGTCCAAAGCGATCCCCTAAAGAAAATTTGTCCCCAGGATTTAGTCATCTACTTAGCAAAAATGAAAGCAGCCCGATTCGGTAAGTTCTCTAAAATTGGTGAATAAAATATATATAGTATTGATTTTTTTTAAATGTCAACTTATGCCTCTAGCTGTCACTAATTTTTCAGTTGTTAATGGGGATTCTGTGGATTTAAATCATTTAAATAAATGTCATACTAAAAATAAAAAAGTACTGTAATACGTGAAAACAGTTTTTAAGTGTGTAAATTGGCTACTATAAAATTTAAATACTGCCTCAGAACCTCTTCCAGCTTTTGGATATAGAATGATAATTCTTTGTTTTCCTGAAAAGGTATAAGATACAGGGAGAATTGGGGGCCATTTGTACAAGAAAGTGGGCTGTCCTGGTATGGCCCTGGCACTAAACACAAGTTTACCTGTGCTCCTGAGGAAGTTCTCTCTGAAGTGTGGTTGGGAGTGTGTGCTGTGGTGGGAGGGCCACTGACTCCTAAGACATGAGAGCTGGTGGCCCAGCTCTGTCAGGCTCTTGGGGAAAATTACTGAAGCACATTGAACCTCAGTTTCCTCTTCTATAAAACGGGGGTAATAGTGCCTACCTGCTTATTTCATATGGTTGTTACAAAGATCGGATGAGATAATGTATTGGTAAATGCTTTAAGTCGCCAGTATGTAAATATAATTTTGTGTTAGAAAATATAAATTAAATTTCAGTTTTAAAAAATTACATGACCACCTTTCTCTTTTAAAGATATGTGAATATGTAAGTTAACTGGATGCCAGCTCATCTTTCTAGTGGAGATAGGGAACATCAGTTAACACTTTTTTTCTCACAAGTAACTTGCTTCATTCAATAGATTTGATATACTTTTGGATGATTTAGATACTGTTCCTGTGTCTACAGTACAACGTCCCAATCCAAGGAAACAACTCCAGTTTCTTCCTCTAGATGACTCAGAAGGTACCTTTTCCTTAAAAAATTATCAGTTATGGTTTTAGTCTTTCATTTTGTGAGTTTCTGGTATCTTTTCAAGGTTCTAAGTGTCATTATATCCTGCACTTAAATCTTTTTTTACCCAACGGCCTCTAAAAATAAGCATTTGTGACACTCATATTGTGTCAGTGTTGTTATCCTCATTGGAAAGTTGGGAAACCGAGGTACAGGGGATGTTAATCTTTAATTACCAGGGCCATACTGTTCAGTTTTTTATATTCTGTAAGTTATATTCTGTAACCTTCTTTTTCTCATTTATATTTTAAGTTTCTTTTTCTCATTTATCTTATAAAGTTATAAGGTAATGTATGTGAAATCACTTGGGTAGGCCCTTAAAATACTAACTCTGTAATGTTGGTATATGTCCACTAAATGTGTTGTTTAGTTTTTAAACTTTTTTTTTGCTTTAAGTTTATTTAGGGAAGTTGTGAAGATTGTCAAGCTGAGGGCAGGGCTTTTAGAATTCTGTGGAGAAAAAAACTGAGTATATATGATTCATTATGTATCTCTTTTCATTACATTTTTTTTGGCCGTGTAGCAGCCATTTCCAGAACGTGAAGTTGGGTAACATATTTAGTATGTACATGCTCTGTTAGAAGAGCTGATAAGAAATAAAAGAAACTTCTTTTCTCTCTGACAGAAAAAAAATACTCAGAAAAAACCACTGACATCCATGTTAATCATAGCTCTTCCCCCGAACCGTTGCCAAGTGGAGTGAAGAAAGTCTCTGTGAGATCAGCCTGGGAGAAGAATAAATCAGTTAGCTATGAACAGTGTAAGCCTGCCTACGTACCACCACAGGGTAATGATTTTGAGTATACAGCAAAAATTAGGACCCTAGCTGAAACGGAACGGTTTTTTGATGAACTTACAAAAGAAAAAGACCAGGTAAAAACAAACATAAAAAAATGTCTTAAATCTTTGTCTGCACTTAATGTTACGTCTGAGGAAGAGTCAGGAGGGAATTATTGAGTCCAACCCAGGAAGTTACTGTGGATGCCACACAGAGCTGCACTAGAAACGTGTGTGAGCCAAGCTGTTGTTACTAATTGTGACAGAGGGGACTTATGCGAAGCCGAGATGGACGAGAAAGTACTAGGCTGAAGTCTTTTCTTTCCATTCTGTTATAAACCTCCCTGCCACTAATTAGAATTCTCCTATTTTTATTTAAACATTTTTTTGTGTTAACAGATTGAGGCAGCACTAAGCCGAATGCCTTCTACTGGAGGACGAATCACTCTGCAGACAAGGTTGAATCAGGTGAAGTGTCTTACCCTGAGTCTGCTTTGGAGGCTTGGTGCTATTCAGTGCTCCATTTAACCACGAGGATTTTTTTTTTTTTTTTTGCGGTACGCGGGCCTCTCACTGCTGTGGCCTCTCCCGTTGCGGAGCACAGGCTCCGGACGCGCAGGCTCAGCGGCCATGGCTCACGGGCCCAGCCGCTCCGCAGCATGTGGGATCCTCCCGGACCGGGGCACGAACCCGTATCCCCTGCATCGGCAGGCAGACTCTCAACCACTGCGCCACCAGGGAAGCCCTCGATGATTTTTTAATATCACAGTTTTTAGGCACACTGAAACAGTCGATCAGAACTTTTAGCCTTTACAGGAAGTGTTTGGATGATAGCATATTTTATAACTGCATGCTAGCTTTCAGGAACAAAAAGTGATTTTACCTTTATACTTCTAAGAAAAAGGTGTTCATGCCATCATGTTTTCAAGAAACTAACTTGGGAGCAAATGGCAATATGTCTATTAACAGATTTTACATTTTTAAGGCTCTCACATTAAATCTCCCTTTTTTGTGTTTGTTTTTTCCTCCCCAATCTGCAGTTTATTTCTGAACCCCTTTCCATTTAGTAGACATATAAAACAGTGGTACTTTGCAACTGGAATAGATGTGAGGTTAAAAAGAGAGGTGTGATTCCATTATTGAGCAGGAGATGGTGCAGGCGAAGTGGGCCGTGTACATTTTTTTTAGTTGCTTTTCAAAGAGAATTAAAATGCATGAAACCATGGAACATTTTAAATCTCTTTTTGTAACATTTTAAACATAACAGCAATGATATGTCTCTTATATAACTGCAAGCTTTGGCTTTTCAGTGCCTTAATGTCAGGAAAAGTTCAGTTTCAGATTGATCTGTGAGAAAGACACACAGAAAATAGCAGAGGTCTTTTTCTAGGGCCTGTATCCTTCTCTTTTTTTCTGACTTTCTTTCATTTTTTCTGTTGTTCTGAACGTTTTTATTCAATAATTTGTAAAAGTCAACACATGAAATTCGTTTTAAAATAGTTTACTGGGGGGACTTCCCTGGCAGTCCAGTGGTTAAGACTCCGTGCTTCCAATGCAGGGGGTGCAGGTTCGATCACTGGTTGGGGTACTAAGATATCCCACATGCCGCGAGGTGCAGCCAAAAAAAAAAAATAAACAAACAAACAAATAAATAAATAAATAAAATAAAACAGTTTTCTGGGAAAGTAGAAGGAAAACTTGTTCATACTCTAATTCTAAATGTATCTGAAACTTTTGTTTAATATATTTTTTTACATAATGATGATAAGCTCTTAAAATAAGACTTAGAGGGCCCTAGGTTCTGTTCATGTATGTCAAAGCTATTTCAATCCAGTAAGAAGACAAATGGCAGCAAAAAAGGGCTGAGGATGCTTGTGTATGATTCATACGTAAAAAAGGTAAAATTGGGCAAAAAATATTGAAAAATGCTTGGCCTCACCAATGAGTAAAAAAATCCCACACATTTAAACAAAAGCATGATTTTTAAACTATCACATTGGCAGGTATTTAAAAAACAAAACAAAACAAAAAACCACCAGAACCTGGGCTAGGGAAAAGCTTATCCTTGTACACGCGAGTGGAAGGAGAAAGCGTCACAGACTTTCTGGAGTTCAGCTTGACATGTATCCAAAGCTTTAAAATTTTACATTTCTTTGGACCTTGCATTTTTACTTTTGGGAATGATTCCTAAGGCAGTATTTATAGGTGTGTGTAGAGGTATGTTTCAGAATATGTATTGCAGCATTATTTGTGATATATGAAATTAGAAGCAACCTAAATTTCAACTAAAAGATTCTTAATTAAATATGGTATATCTGATGGAATATTGCACATTAATTTACAATGATGTCATAAAGTATATTCCATAACAAGAAAAGTTAAATTGAAAAACATTCTGAAGCAGAGTTTGATTCTGATTTTATTTTTCTTGAAACTGGTGTTCCTATCTGCAGAAAAAAACCGGAAAGGGGAACAGTGGTTATTTGTTGCTTCTTGCTCGTCTGTCTTCTAAAAATTCTAAAATGAATGTGTAATTTTTTTTACAATTTAAAGTTGTTGAAGAGAAAATTTTTAAGTTTTATTTCAGGATACCATTGGAGTTAATATCTAATAAAGTATCTAAAATGATGAATATATATTCCAGGTACTATTTCCCAGTAGTACTATTTATTTAAAAATAGCATTTGTTACACTGACTCATTGTGAAATATCTTGTTTCTTGGAAAAGTCTCCTCCAGCGTTTTTCCTCTTTTTTAACCTAGAAATTTTTGTCAGAAGAAAGTTATTTGATATACTTGTAAGTGGGGTACGGCACCAGTCAGATGTGTCCATTTCTTCTGGCGAAATGTGTGAAGAACGTTCTAGGTTCCTCTTGTACTGTTCTCAGTTCAACGGAGTCAAATAATTCTCTCCTTCTATTTAAAGATAAGCAGTTATCTTGAATGGTTGAAAAGTTGATTTATGTTTCGTTTAAAAGAAATAATGTAAATGACGATTTGTATAAAAACCAAAATGATTGTAATTTTGATGTTTATTTTTTGCTGAAAGAAAAGTCATTTTGGTGGTAATTATAGAATCGGTGAACTTGATGTAGAATTCTAATTAAGTTTTTTCCATGATTTTCACCCAGGAAGCCTTGGAAGATCGCTTGGAGAAGATTAATCGAGAGCTGGGTTCAGTTCGTATGACATTAAAGAAATTTCATGTTTTGCGCACCTCTGCAAATCTTTGAGATTTGTAGCCATTAAATGTTGAGGCAGTTTTGTTTGCACTAATGTGTAATTATGCACTCAGAAAAGGCAAACTATTTTGTACTGTTTATAAGCTTTCACTCAGTAGTTTTACAATCATGCTCTTCTTTACACTTGCTATTTTATACTTCAAATGGCCACATATTTTCAAGATATTTTTGTTATGCTCAGGAATCTCTTGTATATTTTACTATTTAAAAAGTATTATTTTTAAATAGTATATATATCCAATTTATATCAAGAATAAGGAAATGTAAATAGGGGAGACAGCTTTGTTTCTAAACAAATAGTGTTATCCTTTTACCATTAACTTTGCACACCAATTTTATAAACTTGTTCTACGTTGTGAATATGATTCTTTTTTTTTTAAATAAATGCTTAAGGACAGCTTCCGTAATGATAGAGTAATACATGCTGAATGCAAAAAAAAAAAAAAAAAAAAAAAACCAAAAAACAGCATACCCTGGATTTAGTTGTGTTGAAGTTTTTTAAAAATAGTAAAAATGTAATTCGTGTTTGAACCGTGTCTTAGAGTGAATATTGGAATAGTTAATAATGGAAATATTGGAATATTGGAAAGCTTTGAAAGTAAGAATATCTCATTTTGTTTCCCTTAAACTTCATTATTTGTAAGAAAGAAAAATGATAGAGATGTAATTCTCTAATTCTGTGATAGATGTAGTACTTTTCAGAAAAGTTTAACAACTGGGGAGTTGTAGCTTTCTGCCCATCATTCTGAATGTAATTTGTGTCCCGCCCTTGACAATGAGGTGATAAAGCTTTGATGGAAATATAGGCCACCACTCAGGTTGTAAGAGCAACCCCAGTTTCCTCAGTGTACGTGGCCTCAGCTGTCGGATCGTCATGAAGACATTTTTAACCCCTCTCCCCACCCCCACCCCCACCCCGACCCCGCCAAAAAGAAAAATAAATACTCCCATAGTGGCTGCTGTAAGAACAGTAGGTTGAGATGAGAGCAACCTTCCCTGCTTGTTACTGGACAGGGAACGTGTCTAGATAGAGCTCGGTGCCTTTCGCGTGGCCTTGCTGGAGGGCTCCAGCGCACTGCCTTGGCAATGCCTCCTGGCTCTCAGAAGTAGCACGTGGGCAGGAAGCTGTGCTCTGATCGGGAGCGTAGCAGGTAGAGGTCCTGACTTCTGGTCAGGTCCAGGCTGCTTAGCTGCCCACTTTTTGGTGGCCAGTCAGAACCCAGTGCCCACATATTCAAGCTTGGTATGTGTTGACAGACAGACTCATTCCAAACTTTCACCATTGATTCCCACTGATTCCGGTTTTACAGTTTGGTTTACTTTTGAGCTTTTTCTCCTTCTTCTGTGGCTCTTGAGAGCATGTAGTTATATTGAGCCAAGCCACCCGTTATTCCATTAGGGTATATGTATGCCTTCGAGCAGGGATCTCAGATAATCTCTGAGCACCCTTCACTGGAGCTTCCCCTGCCTGAGCTCGGGCCTGGTGCCTGCAGCCTCCCTGCTCAGCTCAGGGGTTCCCAGCAAGCGGGGGTCGCCTGACGGCGGCCTCTCTTGCTCCTTCCTGCCCGTGAATCAACCCTTTGCTTCCAACTCCTGCAACCTGGTGGAGACCTCCAGAGTTACTCATCAGCAGAACCAAGTGCCTTATTCTTGGTGTCTTTCCTGGTCTTTTCGTTTTAATCTCCTAGTTACAGTGAAGAAAACGCTCTTTTTAATCAAGTTCCAGGAGAGCTTGTGTCAAGACTTAATAAAGGGATCGACTTTACCGATGATACTCCCTTTAATGTGTTCCTATACATGACATTAAAAACTAACTTGAAAATTATTAGGATGTTTCATTGTTCCCGACTTGTATTGTAAAGTCTGTTACATTCTTAAGAATAGGAAATGGCCATTTCAGAAGAGATGAGCATTTTCTCTTGTCAGGGAGTTATCTTCTTCGTAGTCTTATTCCAATCTTAAGCCCCATTAAGATGTCTTCTGTACCTCTCAGGAAACATATGCTTTGATTTGTGACGTGTGTAATAGATTGGAAGTATCAGTCACTTATTTAAAATTAAGAAAAAAAATTTTTTTCTTCGTAGCTGTGAAGAGGGACACCAAGGAAAATCCTTTCAGCCGTCTTTCCCTTTGGTAATGCTTAACGTACAAATACTCCAGTTAAAAATAACCTGAAAGCTGGAGAGGTGGCAAGCTTAAAAAGCACCTGTTGTTGCTGTGTCTGGGGCTGAGCTGCAGTTAGTGAAAAACCTAAGTGAATCTTCCACTTCTGGGAAGTGCCTTTTAAAATGCAAGTAGAGTTACTGCTCTCCTTTCCCCTGGATCTACCCCCTTCCTTTCCCTGAAAAGCCTCCTGAGGTGGGGGGAATGTCCTCTGTCCTTCGAGGGTCCCAAGTAGATGTAGCTACTAGGCAGCGCTAGGACTGTAGCAGCTGGGCAGGGGACAGGCGAGCCAGACAGACCTGGGTCACACCCTGCTCAGGGCCGCCTTCCTCCAAGTAAAGATAAGAAGCTGCCTTCCATTGTGAGAGCTTATGTAAAGTGCCTGGTGTCTAGTAAGTTTTCAATAAACAGTACATTTCTGATTCATTCTGGGTTATTAAATAGGCTTTTGAAGTAGCGATTTCAGTGCTTTCTTAGAAAAGTAGACTGTGTCCCCAGCAATTGACTTAAAAACTGCCTTGAGTTGGTTGACATTTGTTAGGTGGTCTAAGCTGTTCTCTCCATCTTTTTGCAAAAAATGAGCTTTCTTAGAGTTTAAGTGAGCTGGGCTCATTTAGAGTTTAAATGGTGTGCTTTTTTTAATGAGTAATTGATAACTTGGCTAGTGTAAGTTCAGAAGCCCTGTGATCTTAAGTAAAGTAGATGATTTGGGGGTTATTTGATATAGGCTGTTTTACCAAAAAAAAAAGTATTGCCAATGTAATCAAAATAATTGCACCTTTGAGTGTTCCATAATTAGACTTCTAAAGGTGCTGGCCTGTGACACAGGAGCACATGAAGGAAGTGGCTGCCACTGAACGTTTGGAAGATCTATATGAAGATTATGATTTGCTTTTGGAGTTTGATAAGCAACCAAAATTTGTTCCCCTTTTTAACTCAGAAAAGCCAGGTGTTTTGCTGAATGCTATTTGAATTCTGAACTCTGTACTTATAAATGTAGAAAAGTTAGACATTTTTGTCATTTTAATTTTTAGATATCTCAAAAGCAGTTTTCACTAAATTTTAATGTGCCATTTGTGCTGTGAATCTCTAAGCAGCTTTTTAAAAAATAAATACATATCTAGAGCCCTTTAGGAATCATAAAGGTAAATCGTATTTACCCATCATAAGTGATTGTACATGGTTATGAGATTTGCAGGTCTAATTAAACCAATTATATTGCACAGATTTTGCAGGAGATAATTTCCTGCCTTGCCAAGAGTTCTGTGGCAGTTTAATACTATATTAAACTACACCAGTATTCTTAGGACCTGTTTGTTAAGCCTTCCCCTTTTGATTTGTGTTTTATTTCAGCAGACCCCTCTCAAATAGGAGGAATCAAGCCATAAATTTGCATTTGCTGGACATTATATGTCATGTCATCGCTGTGACTACAGACTTCAAAGATAATGTTTTATTCACAATTTCACTGTAACAGTGACCAATATAATGTGAGAAATTTGCTTCCTATAGTGCTGCTGACATTAGACAAAGACCAGTGCTTGTTGCAGTTTTTAAATCTAGTCAAATGCTGGAGTAATGAAATTGTAAGCTCCATGAGAGCAGGGACCATCTCCCCTTCATTCTTGAATACAGGCACTTAATAAATATTTGTGCATACAAATAATTGTGATATTAGTGTATTTATTCCTACCGCCTAACTGTGGGATCTGGTTTTCAATGGTGTTAAGTCTTCCGCGTTACTGGTCTGAGGGCAGTCATTTTAGGGTTACAATGGCAGCCGTCCAGGTGCTCCGTTCCGACTGGCCTACAGGCAGAGCCTCACTCTGGAGATCTGTATGCTCTGAAACCCCTTTTTTTTTTTTTTTTTTTCTTTTTACTTTTATTATTAGGTTAAAGCACAAGTACAGGGAGAAGTAGCAGCAAAAGGGTGTGTCATCCAATCCGGTTTCCACGGGTCCTCAGGCAAGGAGGATGGTTGTACAGGAGACAGAGGATGACTCAACCCCTGGCCGACTCAGAACAGCACTGGGGCTGAAAACCTTTAATGGGTCTTAGGGCACCCCTTGGTGGAGGGAAGGAGTTGAGGGTTTAGTGTTTATGGGGACCCCTTCACTTGTCTCCGTGTGGTCATGAGGCAGGCGTTTTGAGGCAAGCTGTGTTACGGCGGCTCACCTGGCCCCTTCAGTGTCCAAGGAGATGGGACAGCCTTTGGTCAGGATTGTTCTCTCTCTCACTTGATCTGAAGTCATCTTGGAGCGCTTTAACTTGAGCTTGACCTTGCCCTTCCAGGGGAAGGCGCTCCCCCGCTCCTCTCGACCTTATAATACTTAGTGATAGGGAAACTACCCATAGGTTTTGGGTGTGCCCTGTTTAATTCAGTTACTTCAGATCTTGACAAACAAGGCCATCCTTGCTCAGTCTAAATATACGCTTTATGATTTCCTTTAAATTTCACTCAGTACCCTCTTGGTCCAACTGGAGCGTCCAGTCGGGAGGGAACATCAAGATGAAGCTCTTTCTGATCCTCTGCCAGTTCCTTGAGGTCAGGGACTAGAACTTACCCTCTGGCTACTATTACTCCCACGACTTCTGATGACCAAAGAGCATTTTCATTTTTTGGTCCAGACCATATTTGGGATCCTGAGGAGAGAACTCCTTGATGCCTATTTCTAAAAATCGGGTCGGTAACTGATGCAAGTACCCGGCATCAAGGTTTGGACTTCAATTAACTACCTTTGGTTTGTCCACACATTCCAAATGCCTTCCGAAGTCTTCCGCAGTTCGCTCCCCTTGATTTGTCATTTTACTCCCGAAGGACTTGATTTTTTTATTTATTTTTTTTCCAATTTCTGCAGATCTGCTCGTTCCCTTCCCCTCTTACTGTTCGCGAGTCTCCCGATAGGCGAGGCCGATGGTGTTAAAAGGGCCGAGAGGTCGTGGGCCAGGTCCAGCGCCCGGGGCCTCCCGCGCGGTAGCGAGCCCCAGGCTTTCGGGGGTCGCCGGGGCGACAGCACGCCCGGCGCCGGAGCGGGGCCACCAAGTTTGCCGGGTTGCTCCGGGCGGAGGCCGGCCCTCTGGGCGGGCGGAGGCGGCGGGCGGCTCCCCGCGTGGCCTGACGGAGGCGCAGGCCTGCCGCCGAGTAAGGGAATGCGAGGCGGGCTCGGCGCGCACGGGCAGCAGCGGCCGCTGGGGCGCGCGGGGCACGGCGGCGCCGCGGCGTAGAGCTGTCAGGCCGGTCCGCCGGCGCGCCCGGCCCCGCGCCCCGCCGGCCGCCGCCTCCTCGTCGGCCCGCGGCCCGCGCTCCGAGCGCCCAGCCCGCGGCGGCCCGCACGTGCGCCCGCCCGCCGCACGCCCGCCGACGGCCGGGGAGGATGCCCGCGGGGGCCCGGCTGCTCGCCCGGGGCCAGCTGGCGGCGGCGGCGGTGGCGGCGGCGGCGGCGGCGCGCGGAGCCGCGGGGCGCAGCCGGCCGGGCCGGGGCCGCGGGGCCGGGGCCTCCCGGGCGGCGTGAGGCGGCGGCGGCCCAGCGCTGCCGAAGAGGACGAAGCCGCGCCGCGCGGAGCGGGGTGAGTGTTTCGGTGGCCCGGCCGGAAGGCGGCGCGGCCGGGCCCCCTCCTCTGGCCCGCGCGGAGCCCCCGGGAAGGGGACCCCGGCCGGGCGGCGGCTCCCGGAGGCCCAGGCCCGCCCGCCCGCCTGTCCGCCGGCCCGCGCGCTCGGCGGGAGGGAAAAGTAGGAGACCCGTGACCCGCCGCCCCGCGCGGGGGGTAGGGTCTGGCGCGCGGGGATCCCGGGCTCAGGAAATCGCCCCCAGCCAGGCCCCCGGGAGGCGCTGGCCCTCGGGATTCAGGGGGTCTCCCGACGCTAATGCCGAATTTCCGTCGGTTCCGGCTGGGGCGCGGAGGACTCCCCTCCCCCAGTGACAAGTGTCAACGGCGGCCAAGGGGCAGGTGTGTGTGCAGTGCTGGGAAGGGGCGGGGAGGAAGTGGTGGCCAAAGCCTTCGGTCTAGCCTTCTGGGCTTCCCGCCTCCACCTGGACAGCCCTCCAGCGCTGGCCTGGCTGGGTGGGTGTCCGGGGCCTGAGTCCGGGGTGCGGCCCTCAGAGAGGGGGCCAGGACTGGGAAGAAGTGCTGCCGGTGTCCCCCTCGCTAGAGGAAAATCTGGCCCCTCTCCATCCCGTGAGTCTCCCTTTGCCGTTGCAACCTGAGGGGCCGGCGCTGTCTCAGAGCGGCGAGCTTCCTCCCTACCCGCCTCAGCCTTGCTTGTCAGGGGCAGGGCTGATGGGGAACTTGGGGAGAGGGAAACGCTAGTGCCCGCCTCCGCCATAACGTGTAGCTAATTCCGCCGGGAAACCTCAAGTGGACATTCTGAATAAATAGAGTGTGTTTGCTAGGCAAATGTCATTTCAAGGCAAATCTTTAGCTCTGTCCCTTTTCAGCGCATTTGCTGCCCCTGCGTAAATTCCAAATTCCTCATCCTACACTCCTCTCCCTGCCTCTGAAATATGGACTGGGGCAGTTCTCCAAAGTCTCAGGCCTCCCTGCGTCCTTCCCTTCAGAATCAGGGCTCTTCAAAGGGGACCTCCTCTGAGCATCTTTCTTGGTCCCCTCCTAGCTCTCTCCCCAGCCCCTACCTGGGAGCCACTGGGGCTATAGGCTAGAGCCCCCAGCCTCCTTTCTGAGGGGAATGTGGTAAATGCTCCCCGTCATCTGAATCTCCCTTGCGGCCAAGCCCCCAGCGTGACTCATCTCTGCTCTGAACTCCCACTGCACCTTATCTGTGTCTCTTGTGTGACTCTTACCACCGCCTGCCTTATTTTATAGTTACTTTTGGGCCTGGCTTATCTCCCCGGCTGGATTGTGAGCTCCTGGAGGATGGAGGACAGGGGTGGAGTTTGATTCATCCCTGGTGCCCCGCCCTGGGTCAGCACCCTGTGCACCGTCAGTGTCAGTGTCTGGATGCACTAGAAGCACCCCCCCCCCCCAGCTTGCCTCTGGGGACCTAGTTTATCTGACTCCTGGACGGTCCCTGTTAAATTCTTCTTCTTCTGTGATTGGAGGAGATTCCCAGCCCTCTCCCTTTGTAGAGAGAAACACAGTGAGTTAGGAAGGCCTGTTTTTCTTATAGGGAGGGACTTGCCAGATGACTAGGACAGTACATGCTCTGCTGTGACGATGGCCCGGCACAGACTCTGGGCTCTCTGAGCACTGGGTGTGGAATGGGCTTCTGTCTTTGGCCTTCTGCACTCGCCGTGCAGGGGATGCAGCAGGGTAACTGAACTGTGGGAGTCAAGGCTCCAGGCCTGGCCGTCCCATAAGGTTGTATGAGCTTCACTGAGTCACTTGGTTTCTCTTGATCTTGGTTGGTCCTTCCTTATGGAATCTGAAAGAAAATTCCTCTGCTTGTATGAGGCCCTGTAGGATTTGGGCCTTGCGTCCTCTGCCTTAATGACTGTTCGTTACCGAGACCCAGGCTTGTTGTCTTCATTGGCCTTCCCAGGTGGAGTCCATCACCTCCACCTTTGTGCCACCCTAATCTAACTTAGGCAGAACGGCAGTTAAATGTTACTCTCTGCCTCCCTGCCAGACTGAGCTCCTGTGGGGTCAGCGCCGAATCTCATTTCTCTGCATCCCCCATGCCTGGCACATGGGAGGCTCTAGGTGAAATGTCTGTCGGATAAATGGTGAGGAGCTAAGAGCCCTTGTCCCAAGTGGACTGTACATCCTTTCTCACTGGGGCCCAGCTTTGCCTTCCTCCATATCTGGAGGCCTCTTTTAAAACTAGGCAGATGTTCTCCTAACCATCCCATCCCGTTAAGGCTTTCCAGCTTGGTCCCTGAGAAGAGCCAGTCGTGGAGAATGTACAGTTCATTTGTAGAGATTAGAAGAGGAAACTTCTGGTGATGGATTTCCCTGGTGGCGCAGTGGTTAAGAATCTGCCTGCCAGTGCAGGGGCACGGGTTCGATCCCTGCTCTGGAAAGATCCCACATGCTGTGGAGCAACTAAGCCCATGCGCCACAACTACTGAGCCTGCGCTCTAGAGCCCGCGAGCCAAAACTACTGAAGCCTGCGTGCCTAGAGCCCGTGCTCTGCAACAAGAGAAGCCACCGCAATGAGAAGCCCACGCATCGCAATGAAGAGTAGCCCCCGCTCGCCACAACTAGAGAAAGCCTGCACACAGTAGCAAAGACCCAACGCAGCCAAAAATAAATAAATAAATTTATTTAAAAAAAAAAAAAAAAGAAGAGGAAACTTCTGGTGCTTCATGATCGCTGCCTTGCTGCTTTTGGAGAAGACAGCGGGGATGGGGGCGGGCATGTGCTCTGTCATGGAAGGACAGTGATCTCACGCCTGCGTCCTCAGCCATGGGCAGGAGAGGTGGTCAGCCTTCCAGACAGCCCTCCTGAAACCTGCTCACCAGGACCCCCTGCCACTAAGTGGCCTTCAAGTAGCTTCCCTGTAGGTCCTTCCATCAGTGTTTATTAGGCTTTCACTGGCTACCCGGGATGTGATCAGATAGAGCCATGGCGGCCATGGCAAACCGTCGTCTGGCTTTGCTCTAAAACCAGGGCTAACCGTAACGTGGGGCGTTGCCCCCTCTCTGCTCAAGTCTTCTTACAGAGTCTCGTATGAAAAATTTCTTTTAGAATTTACGGCCAGGCAAGATTTGCCTCCCCTGTGGGCGGGGAATGTAGGTTGCTTCTCCCTTTGATAATGAGAAGGAAGGTGGAGAAGGAAAACAGGTATGGTTTGTGTACTGCATGCACACAGCGTCCGCGAGGCTTCCCCACGAACCCTGTGCATTAGATCGTGTTCTTCCTCCATTTTCCCAGAGAAGGAAGTCAACTGATTTGCCCTAAGGCACTCTGGGTTTGTACCCAGTTCTGCCAGACTCTTCCCATTCCACCCACACTGTCTTTCCAACTGATTATGGTCACCTCCTCTTCCCTGGCTTCCAGGATGCTGGGAGCACGATGCTGTATTTTCATGTAGTGACTGTATTCACTTACCCTTGTGGTCAGCATACTTATTTCTACTTTACTGTCTGTCTATGTGCACGTATATATGTAAGTGTAAATCTATCTGTATTCTTTATAACTCATCACAAAAGGTTTCTGGAAAACTGGACAGATAAGAGTTGAATACAGTACGTAACCTTGCACCTAAAACTTAGGCTGACTCACGGTGTGGTTAGGGAGATGCGTCCCACGGGTAACACCGGGCATGTGAGATAAGTGTTGCTTAAACAGCAGACAGGCTTCAGAGGAGGAGACACCCTTTCTGGGTAAGGCGGTCAGGGTTGACTTCCTGGAAGAGGTGGGATTTGAAGGAGGCCTTGAAGAATGGGTGGAGTTTTGATAGTCAGGGCACCTGGAAAGGTGTGTAGGATTTAGAGTCCAATTTGTGGTTTTCACCACGGCCCTACCGGAAAAGGTTCCTGCGTGAAAGGAGAGAATCGGTCTGGAGGGAAAGTGGGGAGCCTGGTGGTGCCTTTTCAAGTCTTCTCCAGCCTTGCTGGAGGGTCTGGGAACACTGGAGCTGGGAGGTATGTACCCCATTAAGGATGAGAGGGCGAGGCTGACAGAAGAGCCGTGACTTGCCCAAGACCTGTCCTGCAGCGTGGAACCCAGGTCCCTAATGACCAGCTTGGTGCTGGCTCTTTATACTGGCGAAGTTGAAGTCGGACAGCAGCCCTGTACATCAGCCCTTTCTTCCTGTCAGACGGGTACAGGGGTACCGTCTTCCTCACTCCCAGCCCAGCAAACACCAAGAAAAACCCCTGCTAAGCCTTTATGACCAAAGGCAGAAAGAGCACTGTTGGGGAGGAGAGCTGGCATTGTGGTCCAGACTCTGCGCTCCCAGTTCAGCGGGCCCGGATTCCATCCCTGGTCAGGGAACTAGATCCCTCATGCAGCAACTAAAGATCCCGCATGTTGCAACTTAGACCTGGCACAGCCAAATAAATAAGTATTAAAAAAACAAACGTAGAGACGTGGATGGATCTAGAGACTGTCATACGGAGTGAAGTAAGTCAGAAAGAGAAAAACAAATATCGTATATTAACGCATATATGTGGAACCTAGAAAAATGGTACAGATGAACTGGTTTGCACGGCAGAAATAGAGACACAGATGTAGAGAACAAACGTATGGACGCCAAGGGGGGAAAGTGGCAGGGGAGGTGGTGGTGGTGGTGGCATGGATTGGGAGATTGGGATTGACATATATACACGAATATGTATAAAATAGATAACTGATAAGAACCTGCTGTATAAAAAAAAATGCAAAAAAAGTAAAATAAAATTGTTTTAGTCGTTTAAAAACAAACAAAAAATATAGTTACCGTTGAAATAAAGTTCGTCAGAATAATAATTAAATTTGAAAAAAAACAAAAAAACTGCCCTTGCCAGAGGACAGAAACAAAATGAACCAACAGGCAGGATTCCAGCAACAGACAAATCAAACCCAAGCAAGAGCTTTGGGGAAGAGCATCAGGAAAGCGGTTTCACACCCCCTGAGGTCCCGCTTCCCTCTTGTGGGAAGGTGTTGGGAGTGCAGGGGAAAGGCAGAGAGTTACGGAAAGAAGCCGCAGGACTCGGGGACCCCGAGGCTGATTTCCATCTCGAGTGATGCTACTAGCTGCAGGAGCGATGGCCTCACAGAGCGGAAGCCCTCGAGTATAACACATCCTAGGTCACGTGTGCACACGGTCGAGGCCCATTCCTGGCAGTTCTGTAAAGTGCCCTGAACCACTGCTCTTAGGGGAAATGCGGAGTTAGGTTCCCGCCAGCCTCTGGTCACAACGTATTTGTCCTCCGATCAATACATAACTCTCTTATGTGTGTTTCTCTTTAAAGATGCCTTATTTATTATATATTACTGATTCATTAATTGAACTCAGCCAACAGCACTATCACTCACGCCTGAGCGAAGCTCGTCTAACACACGAATTTTCTCCATAAGGCACATCACAGCCTTCTCGGCTCTGAGCAGCTCTGAGCACTAGGCAGTGCTTCAGCTTCATGCTCAGGGCCATGTTAAATCACTAACAAAAAAAGCACAAAAGTGTGAAAACTGTGGCAGTAAATGGATCACGGAAAGGACACTTGTTGACAGTTTGAACTGAAACAGGAGGCAGAGGGCCGCCTTGTTTGACCTGTGCTGCACGTTGGGTGACTCAGTTTCCCCCCCACCCCCACCCCGTGCATGTCTGCAAATGACCTCGTAAGCGCGGCGATCGTCAGTTTCTGGGTTACAAGTAAACTGTAGCAAGTGGGCGGATTCGTAAATACAGGAATCCGTGAATAACGAGTAAGGACAGTTTATACAAAGTAGTTCCACAACGCAGCATTCCGAAGAGATAAGGAGGGACTGTTGCCACATTTTACAGAAAGGAAAGAGGCTCAGAGAGGTTAGTGACTTGTTGGAGTTTGCACAGGTGGCTGGGGCCGAGCCAAGATTTGCATCCACTCCTGGCTGAACCCAAGTGTGGTGCTTTCCTCTCAGCTCCTGCAGCGTTCGCGATGAGATTCTTTCCTCCTCGTGCTACCCCCCCACCCCCACCGCAATGACCCATCTGCCGTCTTTGTCACTGTGTTTACCCCCATGGTAACTCCAGCGTACAGAACGGGGCCCCTCGTGGATGCTCAGTAATTACTTGGTGAATGAAGGCCAGGGCCACAGTTTCTTGTGTTTGCTCTGTCTCGGGTGCCAGAGGAAGGAGAACTATCCGGGCATAGGCTCCCCACCTCGCCCTCCTATATCCCTTCCAGAAGGGCACCCATCTCCCCTTTCCACAGGAGGTCCCGTGTTCTCACACACAAGGGGGTGTCGGCAGCCCCACGTCTAACAGAACTAACTGGTCTTTGCTGGGAGGCACCAAGGGCAGCCCTTCGCCCAAAGGAATGATCCTTTTTTTTTAAGCTTTTACCATTTAAAAAATACATATATATTTATTTATTTGGCTGCACCGGGTCTTAGTTGCGACATGCAGATCTTTGTTGCCGCGTGCAAGATCTTCCTTGTGGCATGCAGGGTCTTTAGTTGCAGCCTGCAGGATCTAGTTCCCTGACCTGGGATCAAACCCCAGCCCCCTGCATTGGGAACTGGAGTCTTAACTCCTGGACCACCAGGGAAGTCCCAGAAATGATTCTCTTGAGGCATTTCGGGCCAGCATGGGGCTTCCCGGGTTCCCAACCCTCAAATCCTGGCTTTCTTACTCCTTCTTAGTCCTGGAAACCTTTCCAAAAATGTTCTGCCTCGTGTGCCCTGTGAAGAGTTGGTACATAAGTAATAGGGATTATTGCTCTTTCTTCTCTCCTAGGTTCTTTATTTCCCTTTTTGGAAATGGTTCCCCGCGAAGGATGGAATTTTCTCTCTCTGCAGCTGGGGGGCTTTCCCCCAGGTCTCTGTAGGGTCTGGCTGACTCATCGACTGTGCTGTGGGGCAGGGCGAGAGCTCTCTCCCGCTGCTGCCCTGCTGGACTGAGTCAGGCCCTGCAGCCTCCTGGCCTCACCTGGCCATGGTCCACGAAGGAGTCAAGCCCCAGGGAGCGCCCACCAGGCGCCAGGGCCCTGCGTGAGGCGGGTGGAGGGAGGGCTACTCCGTGGGGGCTGCCAGCTGTCCTTCTGCTATCTCTTTACAGACCCTTGAAAACCCACCTTGAAGGGTGGGGGACGGGGGCTAGGCATCGGGGTAGAAATAGGCGGCCATTCCCATTTCCAACAGGGAACAGCTTCCAACCGGGCGCGGGGCTGCCGGGGAGGCGGGGCTTCCCGCAGATGGGGAGGCGCGCTCGAGGCCGGTTTATCGCTGGCTGGTCCATTGCGCTCGTCTGTCCTGCTGGGCACTTTGTGAGAGTTGACTTTTCACTTGCAGGTTTGTTTTTTTTTTCCATAAGAGGGAGAGATACCAAACATTTTCTGCAATTAGAATTTTTCCCTCTTGGGTAATCACAATGGACAAAAAGCATTTAAGTCTTTTGAAAACCACACGGAAGCAGGAGCCCGGGGACCGTTCAGTTGGCAGGGACGGCCAGCCATGGAGGCAGTTCGGGGCTCTTGCATAAGGGAACAGCTATTTCACATTTATTTGGGGTTTGCTTCTTGCAGCATATTTCAGTTAGTTCATCAGTGCTGTGCATCTGACAGGCCACACGTTCATTGTGGTTGAGCCATCTGGGAGGTGGGAGGCCTGCAGCCTTCCCCATGGCAGTCGGTAACTACCAGTTTGAAGGAAATTTGTTTGATGTGTTTAAGAACCCAACACTAAAACACCATTAATAACAAAAGCTTCAAGAGTTCTGAAAGCATTCCCCCTTGTTGAGCCATCAAATGGACATGCATAACTTAAGACCTCATTTCTTCCCCTACTCCTGTGACATTTTCCAACCCAGTGAGGCAGAGATCTGAGGTGGCTTGTTTCATTGGTCCAGAGCACGATTTGCACTAACCTGGTGTGGAAAGGAGCTCATTAATTTATACTTGGGGGCCACGCAGCCTGAGCATTTGCTGCCAGGAGTAGCAAGGGAGGTGGTGAACAGATCCCCACATCAGTATTCAGCTGAGCTCCCAAGCTGCTCGTTTCATTTCGGGTCCCAGCCTCACTCGGGTGACTCATCCGAGCATCGTGAGGTCATGGTGATGCATGCTGACCAGCGCATCTGCTCTGCACTCCTTGGGTACCAAGGTTTAGAGCACCAGTTACACCCATTTCTCTCTCTTTTTACCTCTGTTATTTCTCCTGGCAAACTGTCCCCTTTCCTGAGGAATGTTCTGTCTGACTTTCCAGCAGGGAGGAAAAGAGGAATTCAGCATCTTAGGAGAATAGGGGAGCCTGAAGGAGTGTGGGAAAAAACCAAGTCCAAGGGTTTGACCTTTCAGGAGGAATGACTTTCTGTGTCCCTGAAACCTTACCACCCCAGGCTGGGCGTGGAGCAGGATTGAGACTCACCACATGGTTGTAAACTGGAGGCTGGCTTGTGAAATCGGGGATGTTTGGTTCACTCAGGTTTGTCCTGGTGGCCTGGGAGCTGCAGGACTGGTGTTTGGAGGGTTTAGGCTGATAATGGCACCCATCCCGTACCCAACCAGATTGATGCTTCATGATAGACTTTTCTGAATACTGAGATTCCTGCCCAAGGAGAAGGCGGCAGGCCTTCCCTCTCCAAACCATAGGGATCCCTGGTCTAGCCCAGCTGCTCTGCAGGCTGAGGGACCTTGGCTTATTTGTCTTTGAGTCCCTGGTGCCCAGCATAGTGGCCTGGTGGTGACTCAGGGCCTGATGACCGTTTGTGGGGAGGCGGTGACTAGAGGTCCAGAGGCAAAGCGGCCTTTCTCATTCATCCACCTTTTGTGTAACACCCTCCATGGCACGGAGTGCTTCTGCCCGTTGTGCTTCATTTGACACCCAGAAGTGCTGCTGTGCCCATTTTACAGGTGAGGAAACTGAGGCTTGAAGAGGTCATGATTTGGCACTCAGTGCTTTCAGCTGTCGTGTTTCATACACGGGCACACTATAGCTCAAGGAGGTCATGAGTTGGGCCAACCACAGTGGAGGTTACCTGCTGGCCAGGATTCTTGTCCTAATCGGGGTCCTCGATTCTTCAAGTTCACGTTGTCACGTCCATTACATGGCCCCTGCCATGTTGTTACGTTGTTGTTGTTTTTAAAATCCATCAGGGGAAGTCCCTGGTGGTCCAGTGGTTAGGACTCTGCACTTTCAGTGCTGAGGGCCCGGGTTCGATCCCTGGTCTGGGAACTAAGATCCCGCAAGCCACGCCGTGTGGCAAAAAAGAAAAAAAAAAAAAAAATCCATCAGTATTTCCTGATCTAGTTCAGTCTGAGCAGTGCCCAGAAGCTTTCAGTTTGAGTTTGTGTGAGTTTTTTGTTTCTTTTCTTTTTTTCCAGAGAGGAAAACAGAATTTCTCTCCTTTTGTTCTGTAGCTTTTGCTCTCCAAAGAGGCCAAAAGGCACCATGGATTTAGAGCAGGATTAGATTCCCCAAGATAAGGTTGCACGCTCTGGGGTCACGGCCATGTACATGAGTTGGAGCCCCCATTGGGATCCTGTTGTCAAGTCTTGTAGCCACACGCCTAGGAGGCTGTGGTCAGAGGCTCCACCAACTGTGTGTCTTGGGAAGTGGTGCGTTTTCCTTCCCTCAGGTCAGAGCTGCTCTCAGACTGGCTGAGTTAGGAACCCCGTTTATGGGGGTGGGACAGACATGTTTTTAAAAGGGCACAGTTCAGAGTGGGCTGGGGCTTGTCCATGAGGGTGGGCCCTGCTCACCACCCACTCTGGGTTCTCAGCTGGGGCTGGGTCAGTTTGCTCTGGCTTGTCCCCCTCTTCCTGCCCCACTTCTGACCTTCTCCTTGCTCGTTAGAGAAAGAGCAGGGACCCAAAGTGGCCTGGTCAGGACGCAGCGGCAGGTGGGGCAGGAGGTGGAGGCCAACGCTTTGTCTCTCCCACCTGCACCGCAGGTGGCTGCCTTGCTATGTCCTCTGATCTGGGAGAGCTGAAGGGCCTGTGGCCGCCAGGCGGAGAAGAGACACAGGTGGGTCCCTGTGGGAGCCTCTGGCTCAGGCCGGGGTCCCTTCAGCAAGAGTTAGAGGGTCTGCTTTTCCCTGGGGCTCCCCACACTGTATGAGCCACTCCCCGGACTGTTGTTATCTTGGTGTAGCTCCCGGGGCCCAGGCGTCCCAGCTGGGCCGGGCGGGGGCTCCCAGGGGCAGGGCCGAGTTATATACCTTTTTGGCTTCCTTGGAGCACCTTGCCTTGTTCCGAGCTTGGAAGAGGGCTTAATGAAGCCTCTGACAAAGAAAAACTTGGGGAAGGTGGTCTGGCCCACCTGTTCTCCCAGGAGGCTGCCTTCCAGATTTCTCCTGCTCTCACTAGAATCCTAACCTGCTCGGAAGGACACACACCCAGAAGGATTCCAATCCCCTGGCTGTGCTCACACCTGGACGCAGAGGGAAAATGGAGGTTCCAGTGTGTGCAGTGCACGGAAGGGGCAGGAAGGGCCGCTGGACAGATGCCCAGCAGAAAAAGAGGGCACCGGGTGAGGCTTTGGATTCAGGAGGAGAGAAGGCCAGAGAACGGGAGAGTTTCTTTCCTTTCCTTCTTTTTTTAAAAATTGAAGTGAAATTCATGTAACATAGAACTGACCATTTCTAAATGTGCAATTCAGTATCATATAGCGCATTCACAATGCTGTGTGGCCACCACCTCTGTCTAATTCTAGAGCATCCTCACCACCCCGAAGGGAGACCCCAGGCCCATTAGCAATCATCCTCCATTCTCTCTCCTCCCCTGTGGCCAGCACTGATCTACTCCCTGTCTCTATAGATTTACCTCTTCTGGACATTTCACATAAATGGAATCGTACAACATGTGACCTTTGGTGTCTGGCTTCTTTCATGTAACAAAATGTTTTCGAGGTTTATCCATGTTGTAGCATGTATCAGTGCTTCATTCTTTTTTTTGAGTGGTAAAATACACATAACATCAAATTTACCATCGTAACCACTTTTCAGCGTGCAGTTCAGTGACACTAAGTACATTCACATCATTGTGGAACCATCACTGCCATCCGTGTCCAGAACTTCTTCGTCTTCCCAAACTGAAGTTTTGTCCCCAGTAAACAACAACTTCCCATTTCCTCTTCCCTCCAGCCCCTGGCACCCACCACTCTACTTTCTGTCTCTGTGAATTTGACTCCTCTGGGCACCTCGCATAAGTAGAATCATACAGTGTGTGTCCTTTCACGTCTGGTTTATTTCACTGAGCAGAATGTCCTTCAGGTTCATCCATGCTGTAGCATGTGTTAGAATTTCCTTTCTTTTCATGGCTGAGTAATATTCCACCATATAGATAGACCACCTTTTGTTTATCTGTTCGTCTGTTGATGGACACTTGGGCCATTTCTGGGCCAGCGAGATGTTGACTTTGGCTTGCCCCTGGATGGGGAACAGTGAAAGACAGCTGAACTAGGAGGGCCTAGGGGTCTGGGAGGCAAGAGCTGCACCATTTCCAAGGTGAATGGCCTTTGATGATCGCGCCTTCCTGTGCCTCGGTTTCTGTATCCATCCAACAGGGGCAGCGATGCTCCCTCCCAGGGGAGGATGCGGTGAGAGTCTGGATGAGAGGGTGGTTTTGTGGACTGTCAGTTGCCCTGCACACGTGAGCTGCTGTCTTCCTGGACAGGGACAGCCCTGGTCTTCATCAGTCATAGGCTATGAGGGTGGGTGGTGCCTGGCCCTCCACCCTCCCGGGACTCACTTGTGACTTCCACTTGCTGGAAAGTTCCCTCCCTTGCAGAGGTTCCAGAGTCAGCCCCACAAGAAGGTGTGTCCTGCCTGTTAGTGACCTTCTGAGCACTTGCTGACTCCCAGCTGATAGTAGTAGGGGAGCCGGGGATACATGGTTCCCTGCAGCACTGTCTCCTGGGCCCCCTCCTTGGAGCTCCGAGAAGTCGAAGCCAGGAGGATGACATTGGCAGCCTCCTGGGGTGGCTGAGTCAGAGCGGAAAGTCAGACTGGAATTCACTAAGTCACACTTGCCTTCATTAGGCTAATTAACTTTCCATGTGAATTAGCTCTGTGAGCTGATTTAGGAAATCCATTACCAGGCCGGGCCAGTTCCATGTGCAGTGGTGCCTAGGAGGCTGTGCCCTGCAGTTCCATATCCACCAATTAAGGCTGCTTAATTATTAACTTAGGGCTGCCTGACTAATGAGGAGTTGCACTTGTTGTGTGCTATTTGAGAATTTTAAGGCCGTTTAAAATTAGCCGTAATATAGTTGATAATCATACTAGGAATCATAGGTTGT